GTGACGGAGCGCGTAGGATGTAAGTGGACGACGCGCTATGTAATAGCACGGAGTGGCTATGTTAATTCGGATTATGACAATTAAAATGTACAATTGATTTAAAAATAAGTGTATTATGTTTTTTCTAGTCATCTTTCTAATGAATAACAGCACCTCGAATTCGCTTTTTATATTAAAAGCTTCAATATGTTCAAAAGCAAGCTTGGAGTTTCTCATTACAGTTTGTGCGGCATTTTGATTCTTGTATTATTCGGATCTGTGGAGGCTCCTGTAGAAAAAGGTTTTGCATTCCACAGAATTGGGTGGATGGATGGATGGTAGTGGCTATACCCTTTGTAACGGGTGGCGGGTTCCGCCACTTAGCGTAACATTTAAAATGTGTATAAATGTTGTTCTAACAAAACTTTCCGCCCCCCTTTAAAATGTTCCCATTGCTCATTTTTACAGTGGAGCTGTTAAGGGCTAGTTTCCTCAGGATCGTGTACCCCGCAAAGAAATGTCGACACAAAACTCTGTACAGCTACCGCCATCTATGAGCGACGGCGGCAATCAGACAATCGGCTTGCCATCCTTGCTCATAGATGGCGACAACCATTCCAGCCTTTCCACTTTGGTTTTCACCAGAGTGGAAAGGTGGAATTTCTCTAGGCGTCGTCCTAGATGTCGTCCTCGAGGCCTCCCTAGAAGTCGCCCTTGAGGACGTCCTAAACGCCGTCCTTGAGGCTGTGCGAGAGATTGCCCTCGAGGTCATCCTAGAAGTTGTCCTTGAGGCCGTCCTAGACGTCGTCCTTGAGGTCGTCCTAGAAGTCATTCATGAGGTCGTCCTAGATGCCGTCCTCGAGGTCGTCCTAAACGTTGTCTTCGAAATCGTCCTAGAAGTTGTCCTTGAGGTCGTCCTAGACGTCGTCCTTGAGGTCGTCCTTGATGTCGTCCTAGAAGTCATTCATGAGGTCGTCCTAGATGCCAGTCCTCGAGGTCGTTCCAGAAGTCATCCTAAACGTTGTCTTCGAAATCATCCTAGAAGTTGTCCTTGAGGCCGTCCTAGACGTCGTCCTTGAGGTCGTCCTTGATGTCGTCCGAGAGGTTGTCCTCGAGGTCGTCCTAGAAATCATTCATGAGGTCGTCCTAGATGCCGTCCTCGAGGTTGTCCCAGAAGTCGTCCTAAACGTTGTCTTCGAAATCGTCCTAGAAGTTGTCCTTGAGGTCGTCCTAGACGTCATCCTAGGCGTCGTCTTTGAGGTCGTCTAGATGTCATCCCTGAGGTCGTCCTCTAGGCACCGTCCTTGAGGTCGTCCTAGACATCGTCCTTGAGGCCGTCGTAGACGTCGTCCTTGAGGTCGTCTGACCATAGTACAGCTTAGCTGGTCTTCCTTTATCACCAGAGTGGAAAGGCTGAAAGTTTTTTATCTGTATTTTGACATCTCCCTAGATCTTTTCCACCAAGCTTCCAATCTCCCCTTAGTTACAATTCTTTCTCTATATATTCATCCATCCTTGTCTGCAAATCCCAGTGCCCCCTCCAAATCCGTAGTCATCCCCCCCAAGAGGGTGGGACGAAGCCATATGCACCCATGTTCTATAGTTTCCCTTTCGAGGTTGCATATGTCACATAAAGTGCCTCTTTCCTGGAATTTAGCCCTATATGTTTTCATTCTTAGCACCCCCGTCCTAGCTTCAAACAGCCATAAGCTCCCCAATGAATTATCAGTTCCTTCTTTACTTTTGTGTTTTTGTGCCCTGTATATTGCCACACGCGGTGCCGAGCGAGCACGTAGGTGGCGGAATGGTTACCGCGCTTGACTGTCGCGCATAAAATCTAGGTCCGATTCCAGTCAGTGGAATCTGCTTTTATTTACTCTTTCAACCTGACGTTCTCGTGAGTTCGAGAACATTCTTGTCTGATCGAGTTCCGAATGTTCTACGCGCCGAACGTTTTATGCCGAATGTTCCAGAAACCCACAAGGTTACATAAGAGACTCCGCATGGCGAGCGAAGTCAGTCTTGCTCCAGGGTTCGATCCTGCTATTATACCGCCATCAACGCCCACGACGCTTTATTGTTATCTTCTGTTTCCTTTTTGTTTTGGGCACAAATTCACCAGATTAAACATTTAGTTTGTTTCCGTTTTTTGTCGCCTCATCATTTGTCATTCGGGACAATATTGTTAAAGTCAATTTCCCCTGCATTCTTACTTCCCACAATTTCCTCCGTTTCCTTTATTCCATTTTCTACTGATATGCTCTGATCGGCCCCATCTCGTTAAATGTATTTCAATATCAGCCTGCGGGTTCGGTTTGACCACTTAGTGTTTAGACTTTTCATATATAGATACTTGTACAATTTCCCAGCCCACCGTGTATCCTCCACGATAGAATCTATGGTATCTTGAAGGGCATGTTGAAAAGTGCGTCTTACAATTTATCGCTATGTTCAAGTGACAATATCTTCGCCTTGCTTCAGTTACCTTGTTTTTATTCTCTCTTTTTGCAAACTGTCGTGCAGCACTACTTTTGGAACAGGGACATTATCATTCAAAGAGTTGCACCACGTACAACAAGGTGTAATACTCGCTTTGAAGTTCCACGTGTATATAGTTGCTATGGCGAAAGCATTAGGGCATTTTATGTTCCGAAAATATTCAACGCATTACCTGACTCTATATTTACTTCCAAATCGAATTATCACCTTAAAAAGAATGTCAAGAGACTGTTTAATGGAAGAAATAAGCATTCTAAATTTTGAGTACCAGTCGCTAATTTGTGTTGTATTTTTGTTGTGAAGAATGTGCTTCTACTGCCAGGTCGCGCCACACAAGCCCTAAGGCTTCGGCAGACCTGACATTTTGTACTGTCGATTTTGATCAATAAAGACTATTATTATTATCCTCATTTTCAGCTAGTCTTTGTTCAAAGTTTACTTTACTGATCGCTTCCCAACTCTCAAAAGATGCCAAACCAATATCGGCCTGTACTCTCTGTGACGTGATGTCAGCTGTTCATGCCCACAGTTGTGCTGCAAAGCGCCGCACTTGTTTTAACTATATTGAGCTTGCCGATACCAATGCTTCTATCTAAGTGTGACTCGACAGTTGCTGATGAGCAAATGCTCAACATTAAACTTACGCTTAGCTTCTCCCTTATCGAATATGTGGCAATGAAGTTTGTCACCGTGACCTCTGCTCAAAAGAAAAGCAGACATTTTCTTAAATTCTTATATTGTTGGCCATGACCTGGCAAATTCAGGCCATTTATTAATATGTTCTACCTAATTTTTACTAAGAATTGTTTACAAATTTAAAATCTCTCGCCGAGAAGCGCATCACGCATAATGCATAACTCTTTGGGTCCGCAGAACTGAACATACAGACCGGATTGTCATAAACAGCACGTAAATACCTTATTTCTGGGGACGTCGAAATGTCACTGCCTTACTAGATTTAACAGACCTCGATTGCAAGGGGGCCTTCACACGTTTCGCATCCACAGGGTGAATAAGCAGAGATTTAGTTGAAACGACTCCAAAAGTCATACACCGCTTCTTCCTGCCAGTTATTTTGAGGAAATGTTTCTTTACTGGTTTACAAAATTCAAAAAAGGAATTTGAAACTAATAAGAGACCAGCACTCACAAAACCGTGGAATCAACAGGAAACACAAAGTCACTTTCACAGAAGTACACGCGAGAGGTTCTCGAATTTTGGTTTCCTGTTTTCAATTTGATGAGACATTTCCTTGGCAAGATTTATTTTGCCCAAATTAATAATAAAAACTACCCCCTATTCACCATGGTAGATGTTGTAGTGGGGTAAAGTGCTGGATATTCTATTTTCATCATTCAGCTTTTTGTATTGGGATAGAGAACAACACAACATTATCCTAGCGCTTCGACACCTCAGCGCCGAAAGTGTTTGTTAGCACGACTATGCATACCACGGTATCAAACTTTGGTAAAATGTCCCACTTCAGATATCACTTCACCAAATAAATACGTGTGAAACAGGCTTTGCCGTGAGTTACCCAAACAGCGCGTGAAGCGAGCTGATGAGCGAGGGATCCAGGATCTGCGCGGTCTGTCCATCCGACGACGTCACAAACGATGATGATGATAGCTAAAGAAGCGCCCCCTGGAGTTTGTGCGCACCACCAATAATGCTAGATGTGGCAAATATCTAACACCTATAATATTCTATAGATTACCCCTCGAAAAGTCGTTACAACTGAAATTTGAATTGACTTTGGAGTTTACCCGTGCAACGATAGCAAGGCAGTTTTGCCAGCTATCTTGATGCATTTTTCACATCGTCAGTACAAGTAACCCTTAAACACGTAACCTTATCTTATCGAAGCAAATGAAGCCAGTAAGAAATTTTGGATCTTCGTTATATTATGGATTTATTTGCCTTGTAAGTTTTGTAATTCGAGTGCAACGTAAAAGACCAAGCATGCACCCATGCTTGGCCTTTTACGCATATAAGTGCACATCTAATACTTTTAGAGCGTTAAAAAAAAATGCGAAGGACAAATTAAACACCTAGACCAGACTTGCTAGGACATGTCGCCAATCAAAAGGCTCCTCACGGCCGCTGATGCTCCGATCACGCGTGTGCTATGAAAAGAAGTCCGACATGCTAAACGGTGGTGCCCACCCTACCTTGTGCCACCCCTTCTGCAGCTTTCCTCATGGGCATAACAAGTGCTCATCCTCCCAGTTTTTCCATGATTATCATTTCTGCTAAGTATTTGCTCTATATATTTTATGGGCATACCTGCCAGGTTCCCAAAACTCTGCTGTTGCATCACCCCCCATGTCTTGCAAACGAATACAAACTAGAGGTATGCGAATAATTATTCCAATCGAATAGTGCCGCATCATTCTCAGCCTCCAGCACCAACAGATGTTAATCTGTCTTTTTCGGTCAAAATCTGGAAGATTGACAAACTAACTATGGCCCAGAAATTAGGGCACCTCCGCAGAAATGGGAGCAGAGATGAGCGTGAAAAGTAGTGAAAATGCCCATGTTTATTACTGATGTTTTTAGAAGTCATTACATCAAACTTGCGATTGGTCCATCCAAGTTTTCAAAGCCTAGACACCTAGTGACACTAGTTGTTGGTGAACTTGGGTGGCCGCTTCTCCACGAAGGCTGACATGCCCTCCTCTCTGTCTTCCTGAACATTGAAAAATAAACAAAATAAAGACAAAAAGAAAATATTAGGGCTTTACATCGTACAGTTTTTAACGCTAAGTAAGGGTGACACCCTGCAGAATCTCTCAGGTTGGAACACCAAATGTTCAAACCCTCTAGCTTGCAATGCCAGGGGTACAAAAAAACGTTCTTGCAGCTATGAGGCTGCTAGAAAGTTCTGCTTCCTATTTCTGAACTGTTAAAAAAAATTAGGGAAGGGGGAAGGTCACTGACCGAGAATCATAAATGTAGTATTGTGCAAAAATAAGATCTTCTAATAGTAGACTCATATGATGCACTATTCAATATTTCGCTTCGAGATAATTTGAGATATTCATACAGTTTAAGTGTTGGTTGCGGCAGGGTGCAGACTAGCACCATTGAGCATGCTTCCTACCGAGCACCGGTGCACTGCAGAAAAGCAACGCCCGCTAAGGCGAGCTCCACGCATCTCCGCAGGGCAACGGTGCGCCGTTAGAAATGCGCTCAACGGGGTTAACTAACTGCAATCAACACTGCAAAAAGCATGAATTACATGTTTAGGAGAAAAGCACACTTTCAAAGTGGGATGGTGCACGCACGTGCGCATGGTGTATCTAAAATGACATGGAAACTTTCTGACTGTTTATATCTACACAGCAGCACAATTTTTAAGATTACACTTTAGCTACTATGCAGGAGTATATGTTAGGCAGGGCTGTCCTGACAACCTGCATTCATCATCTATGATCGGCTTTTTTATTTTCTTAAAATTTGGGATTGCAGGACATTTGCACGTAGCAAAAATATTTACTGATCCCTCAATTAGGCATAGCTGGGCATCTCCATAGGTACAATTCCTGTCAAATCTGTTGTTTAATTGCCATCCCATGTAGGCAGTGGACTCCTCGAGGCCACAGTCCATGTACCATGGTTATATTAAAAATAGCTCAGCTTAGAAATGGGCAAGTAGAAGCTTGGGAACATCCTTCATGAGTTCAGCTGGGCTTTAGTTTAAGCATGTTGCAAGTAGGTAGTTAAAGGCTTGGAAAAAAAAAAAACACTTCTTGCAATCTAAAATATTCAACCAAAATAACTACTCGCTTCAAGCTGAAAATCCACTGTTCGCACATGCCTACATAAATTCTCCAAAAAATCATTTACGCTCTATCCTCTCTGGCTCTTTTTTACTTTTAGGGAACACTGGTTGAATAGTTAGCACATGACTGCAATAGATAGTAAAAAAAAATGTATGTTCTAATCTGAATGTAGCATTTACATTCCCACAAAACATGTTGAGAACCAACTGCTGCAATTTATGCAGGGAATGGAAAAAAACTCATGAGAAAAAGGCTCAAAATAGGTAAAGGGCCCTGGCTCCAAGCATGTAAATGTTATGCTCGGCTTTCCCTGTGTGCACCTCTTTTTTAAACTGAAAAGTTGTCGGTGCTTCTTCGCGTCAATGGAAGTAATTGACCTAAAGAGTGGCATACATACACAAAACTAAAGAAAGAAAATGAATAACCAACTGCAGTACAAAGTCATGCAAATCTTATTCAAGCCTTTGTGAAAGAACAAGCGGAACTTTTATATTTGACGAAATGTAGATGGCCAAAACGTCCGCAAGAACAAGTACACCCACCAGTGCAAACGACGCATGGAACAGCCTCTTCTCCACCCTGACTCCTTCCTGAAGGGTCGTCTCAAAAGCTGCACAGACAAGAGCACCCGTAAGAACAAAACAAACAGCAGATGACGGTGGTCTCCACACAATGCACACAAAATAATGAACTTTTTTTTTTTTTTCTTTTTTAGAAAATGCTTGTAAATTGTTTGCTTTTTCTTTATAAGTAGTGCAATACAGCTCAGAAGAGCCACCCTTATCCAGGTTCTTAGAAAAATCTTTGCCATAGGCATTTGAGTCTTCATGTGTATACGTAAGTAGCCTCAGAAGTTCCTTAGACACCCAAATTTTTTCAATCATCTTTACCCCTAAGTAGAGTGTTTTCCCAGGTTAAGTCTCGTTTTAGCATATCTCGGTCATGCACTGACGCACAAGTAAGGGCCAAAAACTCGCAAAAGTATGACAAATTGCTAGAAAATTGTGTTTCATATGTGAAACACTCTAGCATCAGAAACATCTACATCATCGTTATGCAGCACGTCTAGTCCGTTCAGCCAGACGCCTATGTTCACGGCACTCTTCATCAAATAATTTAGTGCGCGGCATGTGTACAGTTGAAATGATAAACCTGGTGATCTTTCAGAACCTTCTAGCGCACTTTTCTCTCACCTCGCCTTTGCTCCTACATTGCCTCCTCACTCCATCCGCACATTCCGCGCTTGCTCGGTGATTGCGTCGCACATCATGGGTAGGGACCAATTGCGCACTTATGCGGCGTACGTTACAAGCCTGACCTCTGACTCTGGAAGACATCCCGACCTATCAAGGCTTTGGCCCGCGGAAGCCTCTTCGTTTGCCGGCACAGTTAAGATCCTGCGCTGTTACAGACGCCGCTGGAGCACCACCAGCTTCAGCGGGTCAAACTTGCGTCCAGCGGCACAGTTGTTGGTTGCTTCTGGACGAAAAACAGCCATAGCTGGCACTCCAGCGTGGTCCCGACACTCAATCAAATGACGTGCGACCGTGAATCGTGCGAAAAGCCGTAAACAAAAGCAGCGGGGAGTGAGGCCGTTGCAGAGGCCATTCCGGAGTGGCTCTTACGTCGAGTGCCGCCACCCCTGGGAGTTGGGCGCACTGTGCGCCATTCACCGCCGTACGTTTGGGCTAATTTGCAAATCGTTATCAATAACACTCGTATACGCAAAGAAAAAAAAATTATAACTTGCAAAATAAATGCAGAGAATAGCACAACGCTACAGGTACAGCCGGCTGAACTCGCAACGAGCCGAGGTGTTATTGATATTGCGATTGTTTCGATTTTGTGAGTAGTGGAACGCTTTGCTTCGATTATAGGTCGACCCCCCAACTTCAGATTTTCAAAAATTGAAAAATGGGTCGACCTAAATTTGTGTAAACACGGTACAAACAAAACATGAAGATAGCTGAATCTGGTAGGAAAAACTTGAAAAAGAGCCAAGCCTCAAGATGGCATGAAACGTCTCACTAAGACGCAGCCGCTGCGGGTAAAAAGCTAAGCGTTCACAAATGACGAAACAGTTTGTCAGTATCGAGAAGCACTTTCAGCTCGAAATGCACTCAAATCATGCTGGAAAAAGGGAGGAACGCAAAAATAGATTAAGAGGAGTGGCACCGTAAACATGCTCACAATGGTTGATGCTCTCCTTGCACAGTGCGACAGACACCTGTGAGAAGCTTGCAATCTTCTCGCCAAGCTTGACCGCTTCGTCAACCAGTTGGTCAGGCGGAAACACCTTGCTCACGAGCCCTACGTAAGCGACAGACAACTAAACCCTTTGTCTGTTGAATACATGGCACGACAGTGTCAGCCCGAAAACCACACCGGCGCTTTGTCTCGTGTCGCAGAGTTTACCGCAAGACAAAGCATTATGCTGCAAAAGATTGTGCCACAGATGAGCACATTCAACGATATAGAGGGCGTTTTTTTAAAGGGACGCTGAACCGAAATCTAGATTCCACAAAACACGCGGCAAAAGCGTGCAATGGGATACTACAAACACCAAAACATCACTCGTACAACAATATCTCGAAAGGATGACCGTATTTTTCAAGAAAAGGAGGCACATTTGACAGAAATGTTCACGTCATGTTTCTCCGAGAAGGAGAGGGAACGGCCTCGCGTCTTCTCCGCCTCGCCGCCTTGAGGGAGCGAAGCGAAGAGAGGAGGAAACTAGGTATCTTCACGGTCACACGCCTCGTCGGCCTGGTTCAATCTCGACCTCCTTTTCCAAAAATACGGCCGTTCATTCGAGATATCGCCTTACGAGTATTGTTGTAGGGATTGTAGCGCCCCGCCTACACCTCCTGCATTGTTTCTTCCTGAAACCCAAATTTTGGTTCACTATCCCTTTAAGCTTACCAGAACTGTTAAAAAAAACAAGCGAAAGCTATACTTTCTGTTTGTGCACGTGAGTTACATGGCTGGGGGACTAGTATAGGAGGCTAATTGTAACGATGAGTTGGCTAATTAGATCAAATTTGTTAATTAACTTTTTAATTAGTGAAAATAGATAATGGTTACAATTATAATATTGCTGAGCGTCATTAAAAACAACTAAATAAGCAATTTTTAGAACGACTGAGCACGTGAGAAGTGCAGTATTGTGCTAAAGTTACCACTCCTGCAGCAGGAGCAAGGCTACAGCCTACCGGTGCGATAATGTACCCACGTGATTTTTTTGTCTCTCATCAGAGCCTCAGCCTTGTACCCGCTGCATGAGTGGTAACTTTAATGCACTACTACGCTTCTCACGCGCTCAGTCTTTCTAGAAATGACTGATTTAGGGGTTTTAAATGACGTTCAGCAAGTTTCTAATTGGAACCCTAGGTCTATTTTCACTAATTAAAAAGTTAATTAACAAATTTTACTTTATTAGCCGACGATCATTACGGTCATCCCTCTATATTATGTCCCCCTAGCCACATAACTCACCTGCACAAACCACATAAATGTAGCTTTCACGGTTTTTTATAAAAAAATCCGTTAAGCTTAAAAAAAAAACAAAAAAAAAACTGCATATGCTAGGGATTTTGGTGGCAGTCTTTTGTGCTTTCAACCATCTATGCACTCTTCTATGCATGCCTTTAAGCCTTGCATGAATACACGACAAACAAAAATGGCAATCAAATGTCTGGGCCTATATTTAAAAAAAACAAGAAAACAATGCCTCATAATTTTCGGAGCAGACTAAAGGGGTTAGGACACGGAAATTAAACGGGTACTATCGGGGAAAAATGAAGTGCGAACAGAGGAGTGCGCAAGGCGAGGGTGTGTGGCCTACCTCGATGTGTTTACGCCCTTTACTCGGTGCTCTCCAAGCTTTGGCATTGCGCCTCTTAGTGCGCTGAAAGCTATCACCACTATCTTTGCTCACTCAACGCATGCGGCGCGAGGAAGCCCGCGCTGCTAGTAGCAGTTAAAGCGCACTCTAGCTGCTACTAGTGGCCAAACACTATGCGATGATGACATGTAGTCGAACACTCTTCCATCCTACCCTAGGTGCCCCCATGCTTGCCCAAGCTCTCCCCGCTACGATCCACTTTAACCCTACTTTCGCCTTTGCCCCCTCAAAATCTGTCCAGCGCGCACGTGCACCCGACCGGCACAAAGCTACCCTCGGTCTCTCCGCCTCGACACGCCGGTTTCCTCTCCGATCGCGCGTGTTGGATGTCGAAGGGATGCTTGCGTAACTCCCCATACGAGAGTAGTTCCAGATGTCACGCAAAGTCTGCTGTGCAGTGGGACTACATAATGTATGGGAGAAGCAGCCCTTGGTTTCGTTGTTCCCATTCCGAAGAACGTCACGTGATGGAAAACATGGCAATGTAATCCCGCCCGGTCACCGGCAGGTCGAAGTCAAAACGACCAGCTTCCAACACCTCTTGATAACAATCACTCTCGTCGCTGCTGCGATCAGTGTCGAAGACTACGAAGAATACAGCGATGCCGTAGACAAAGTCGTCTTGAAACCGCACGCTCGAAACGCGGAAGGTAAACGAGGAAGCCGAAGCGAGAGGCGCCGAGAGAGCCGAGCTTGCGAGTGGGTGCGAGGGGACACCGCACTGCAAGGGACGGTGGGCGAGGTATGTCGTCGACCCGTCAAACAAGGCGGCCTTCTCGAATGGGATGGGTCGGAGGGTCCCACATGCAAGGCGATTTATCTACGAACCTATGGTAAAATATCGGGGGAGTGCCCATGCCACCTTCACCGAAAACTGGGTTAATCTATACATGGGTGATTGTCCGGTCAAATTGGGTGTGCCTGACGTATACTTTCGAGAATTCCTAAGTTTGGAAATTGCTAATAGTTGGCGCTTGAATAAAGTGGGTGCTTCCGCTGTGCTTTACGGTATTATGCCATCTAAGCATCAGATTTAGCAAAGATATAGGAACATGCAATGCATCCTAGCAGTGTAGGTATCTCATATTTTATTTCTGGCATGTCCTAACCCCTTTAACTTCCAGAGTACATGAGAAGAGACAAGTTTTTATGCAGAGAAAAGTGTAAGATATGCATGCAGCAAAGTTCACCCATAGGCTTGCCAATACCTCAGTTATACTGGGCACAGTCGTTGAAATCTATTCAGAGTGAAAATAAAACCTTCACGATTTTGAGACACTGTCAATTATAGAGCCTAACAATTATTTCCCAAGACAAGACAAATGCAGTAGCACTCTGAATGGGATGCTTGGCTAATAGAATTGGGCTAGTATAACTCAAAGTTTTGTTAACTGTTGTCATTACCTTCTGCCCGTGGCAATGGCCGCATTGTCTTCCAACACCCCATGTGTTCACTCATAATGTCGTTACTGTTTTATTCCCTCAAACGAGGGCCCTTAAGGGAATTTGATTAAATAAATAAATAATATTTTGTCACATTATGCGTTCACAGTAAGACTGCCAAAGGCTGCACAGAGCTACAGAAGATGACTGCGCTGGTCTGGGCATTGCACCGGCTGTTCTTAAAAGGAACACTAAAGACGCCAATTGGAAGGCCTTAAAAAAATTATGTTTTGCTCTCCACAGCTCTAATACCACCCAATTTTTCTTGTCAAGAATATCTCTTGACAAAACAGAAAACACAAAAACTGGTGGGCAGCAGGAACTGCAGAGCCCACATGTTAAGAATGGGAATTAAAGGGGCACTGACACCCCAAAGGTCGTATTTTTTTATTGTCTAAGACGATGCACGTTGTAGTCATAAACATGCAAAAAAAAAACGCATTAAAAAAAAAATTTTTCACACCTTTTTTTTTTTTTTTGCCATTTTCCTCTCCCGCTTTTTGCCTCCTCGCTTCTTTTGATTTGTGACGTCAAGAATCATGAAATTTAGAAGCTTTATGGCGACATTTCTATAACATTTAATAACGGCAATCGTAAAACATGTTTTTTAACGCAATTGCGAGCGCACTACGGCCCTTCCTTTTTAAATACCAAAAATCAGAGTCCGTTGTGATGTCGCCTTCTGGATTTTTATCCTTCCTCAGAAAACATGGCAGCGCTCGACGCATGCAGCAGAGTGTGATCGGTGAGTCGGAGAATCGGACAAAGTGGTCTCTTTTACGTGCCCGACGACCTCTCAGACTTCGAAAAACAAATCGTCAAACGGTCAAAACAACTGGGCTTGGTGTCTGTGTATCATAGTTTCGGTTGTGACACCGCCGGGGCACCGTCGTCTGCTCGAAACGATGGGCAGCACGGCACCCACGCAGGAAATTGGTTTCCTGGTACGGTGGTTCCCGCAACGCCAGCGCGCGACGCCCTTCTCCCGCTCTCACCTCCTTGCTTTGGAGCGGAGGCGCGAAAGAAACTGGACTCTCAGGAGCCCTCAAACGTTGACGTGACTCCACTGGCGCGGATCGCGTGGGAACTTCAAATTCGGCATTTGGAAATTGTTTTTTTTTTACTTCACAAATACTGAATTCCCAAGTTTCAAATTTTGAGGGTAATGTCCAGGCATTGTTTTCAATCCTTTCAAACAATAAAAAAAAAAATATGATTTTGATGTGTCAGTGCCCCTTCAGTAGAAAGAGAGAGGGGAAGGAGATGGTTCAGATAAACTCGGAGCATTAGGCTGTGGGAAACTGAAATGCCACACACAAACTTCTACTGCCATCCACTTTTTGCCCAGTGACACTGGTACAATCAGTCCGCTTTCTGTTGAGCAATAATTTCTTTCGATCAGAACACAAACAGAGATATCATAGACTCAAAAATCACTGTAAGTTTTCTAAGCCCAACTAACTACAACCTTTTCCCAAGTCATCAACAAAAATTTGCACCATCCGTACAAACACAACATTTAAAGATTAGTAGGGTGGTAAGCTGGGCAAGTTGGTAGCTAGCAGACATAACGAGAAAAACAGTGCACAAGGACAAAGACACAGGAAAAGAACACATCAGACACACAGAATTATGCCGTAGTTGCGCTGACCCGTAACTATAATTCAACAGCCGCGAGTCGGTGCCCGCTTGGACCAGTGTTCCCTTTCTGCATCCCCGTCGTTGCGTACCCTTTTCCATTATGTCTTAAAAATCATTCCTTTCCGATGGTGGTTCTCGAGGAGTTGCGAAAGTACAAATGTCCACATCAATGATATCTTCTCCGTCCTCCATCTTCAAAATTCACTTTTGGTGATCCATGATTGCTTATCTGTTGACTCACCGTATTTGTCAGCTTCGGCAGCGGTGATTTGGTTCCCGGTCAGCATCATTTCCATCGCCCTCGACTTCCCAATGGCCTTGGTCAGACGCTGAGTGCCGCCACCACCTGTCCGCCAAAAAGACACCGTGCCTCGCTTGTGATCCAAATATTGAGTCCAGTTCAAATCTTGCTTATAATAATGTTGCAAAGGGTATATTATGCAAGCCATTACTTCTGTGTTACAGTGGAAATTAGCTGACATATTTTTCGGGGGACTGCGGTGAGAAACTGGAAGATCTGAAAAACCGTAACAGCCAATAATGCTTTTTCGGGCCTATAGATGACACAGGAAGCAACTCTCCCACAGTATAGCACAGCAATGAAAAAAAAAGCCAGCCTCGAACCATTGTGACCCTTAAATTTCAGGGCGTGGTTGGAAGTTTTTTTAAAATTGTGTTTTTAATGCGCAAGCATTACCATATTTTTCGGACGGTAAGTTGCACCCTTGCATAAGTTGCACATCCGTATATTGAACCGTTTTCGTGGAAAAGTTGGAATATAAGTTGCACCCCTTTGCACGGTTCACGCGATGAGTGTTTTAGTTTACGTGCATTGGTGTTGCGAAATCGGAGTTTCGCACCATCAGCTAGATCACACGTATTGGTTGAGGAGCCCGTCACCGACCTGTTTTGAGAAACCATTCCTCGTGAAAAGACTGTGCAGTGAAATCACACTGTCTTTCCCTGGCTCTGGCCTGACATTGTTTCTTTGCTGCTGTCATCGACTTGAAGTTGCACCAGCACCTTTCACATCAATTCATAACATGCTTTAAAAATAGTTAATTTTAAGTTTTGCAGTTTGTTGCGCAAGTCAAGTAGTAAGGTCTTTTTATAGACGTCAAAGTGCAGTCTTGAGCAAGTGTTTTTCATGTCTGTATATTAGAAAAAGAAATTTAATATTTTATTTCTCTTTCCCTTCCTCCTTCCCTTTAACTCTACCGAAAAAGTAAAAACAGCCCCTGACAAAAATATTTGGCTATGCTGCTGGCAGAGAGGAAAAAGAAAGGAGCAAGGCGACATCGGGCAAACTAACCGGTCGTGCCCTCCATGTTGGGTGCTACTTTTTGGACATAAGCAAACGGGAAAGCAGACAAACTGGAAAGGAATACACGTATCACAATGGTAGTTCAATGGGACCAACAGTCGTGAGTGTAAGAGCTGGGAGAATGCATTAACCGAGAACATATCGATGAGGTTCTACCGCCATGTGGTAAGCGCTATGCTAGCACCTTTGAGAATAAACCAACTCGCAGATAATCTGCACTTTTGACCAACACGTAGATGCCATCTGGCGAGATTCGAGAGAACCGCCACAAAAGGGCTGCAGGCAGAGGTCGGCATTTTAGGTCGCCCTCACCCTCACAGCCACACTTACCTAAGCCCCTCACTCACCCTCACCCTCACAGCTACACTCACGTTCAGCCCCTCACTCACCCTTATCCTCACAGTCACACTCACCTTCAGCCCTCAGTGATGTGATTGGCCTAAGCCATTTTGGAGCACCTTTTGGAGCAGCCAAAACAGTGTTTTGGAGCAGCAAAAGTGGCCTTTGGCCCAGCCAAAACAGTGTTTTGGAGCAGCAAAAGCCACTTTTGGAGCAGCCAAAACAATGTTTCGGTGCAGAAAAACTGGCTTTTGGAGCAGATATTCTCAGAAAAATAAATATTTGTTTTAAGTGCTGGACAAACGAAGGGCAGTTTGTGTTGTGTTTTGACGTGTTGTGACGGAACTCGCTGCTTGTGTTTTTACTGCTGAGACATCCCACAAGTATACAGTGCTGTAAGCGTTGCAGAGAAATTCCGAAAAAACACTTGCCACCGTTTTACTGGCTCCCGACGTGCCAGATTTTTGTAAAAAGTAAGCAAAAGTAAAACAATGAATTGTAAGCATCCCGGATGGTGCCTCTTTCGTGCAATCATGTTCACATGCATGTGAGGGCAACTTCGGCAGGCTTGCGATTGCGCGTGCATCGTCGCGCGTCCGGAGGCAACGGCTGCTCAATCGCAACCGAAGCCATGCAACTCCGCTCCGTCGCCAACTGGTTCCCAAAATAGTATGCAAAATGTAACTGTCCAGCACAGTACAATAAACAGTCCAGTGCTTGCCAGACCGGCAGGCGAAGTACAGGCTAAACACACAGAAAAAAAAGAACCTGGGTGCATCGGTGTATGACATCGCGAGCCAGGGTCAAAACGTTCTTGGAACGCTTTGTGCAACGACTGAACTCGTAACAAACAAGCGCGCTGTGCGGGTTCAGCGTGCAGACATTGTCATCTTTGCTTTAGCTCACATCACCAACTTTCTGTCACGGCAGACTTCTTAACGTACCGGGGTCCCTCTTGAAAGAAAGCCCACCGAGAGAAACCTAAATAATCAATACTGAGCCAGGCAATGTTTGAGTTAAATAGGGATTTTTGTAGCAGCGTATCATTCTAAAAAGAACAGTAATGTCGATGCTTTTCAGTTTAGAAAGCGCCATATCTGCAGCGATGTGGAGACACACTCTTGGCACGACACTCCCGGCACACTAACGTCAGAGCGTCCGCACTCGCCCACGTCTATCCTTGAATTTTTTTAAAAAAAGACGCGAAACGAGATTCCCGAGACGACGAGAGCGCGAAACGCGAGACGACGGGAAAGGCCATGCAAGACCGGATAGACGATGTGTCGGGCGGCCGCTTGCGCTACCCAGCTCACGCATGCTCAATTACGGTTATCAGTTTAGTTTCAGTTTTGAGAGGCGACCAAAATGGTCCTTTGGCGCAAGCTTGGCGCAGATTACCCATATTTTGGCAAAATGTAGCAGGATGTAGCAGGGTTAGCCCCTTGGCGCAGTTTGGCGCAATTGGCGCAGCAATCACATCACTGAGCCCTTCACTCACCCTCACTGAACCTCACGGCCCTCACGCACTCACCGCCCCTCACACACTCATGGCCCTCACGCCATTCACCGCCTTCACGCCCCTCACTCACTCATGGCCCTCACGCACTCACCGCCCTCACGCACTCAGAACCCTCACGCCACTCACCACCCTCACGTACTCACACCCTTCACACACTTATGGCCCTCATGCCACTCACCGCCCTCACGCCCCTCACGCACTCATGGCCCTCACACCCCTCACACACTCACCACCCTCACAGCCCTCACGCACTCATGGCACTCACGCCACTCAGGCCTGCTTCAGATGGGGCAATTTCGACCAGAAACTTGACGTTGCAAAACCAGCAACACGCGCCGCCCATGTTCACACGCAGCAACCAGTTGCTGCAATTTGCCATCATCATCACGAAATTTTTTTTTTGCACTATTTAGACACACAATTACGTGCTATAAACATGTTTTTAAGCATTTAAATCTTGTTGAGAATACTAGTGCCTCTTTCTGAAACAGTTTATTTCCAAAAGCGATCAGCTTCAAACCCGAACCAAGTCTTCTGTTATCATCACCGGCACGAGGTATCACGTGAAAATATTGCGTCCCTGATTGGATGCACCCGCTTCTCAAGCGTCTTCGAATTGCTCCGAGTTGCTTGCTTGTTTCGAGCCGGACCGAATCTCAGCAATTCGTGTCGATCTGAGGAAAGCTAGGGAACAACCCGCCATCAACATCGAAATTGCTGACAAAGTTGCTCCGTCTGAAGGGGGCCTCACGCCTCACGGCCCTCACGCACTCACCACCCTCACAGCCCTCACGCCCCTCATGCCACTCACACACTCACCGCCCTCACGCACTCATGGCCCTCACACCCCTCACGCACTCAGTGCCCTCACACCCCTCACGCACTCATGGCCCTCACGCCCCTCACGCACTCATGTCCCTCACATCCCTCACGGCCCTCACAGTCCTCACAGCTCTCACGGCCCTCACTTACCCTCACAATCATGAATATTCCTGGTTCAGAAACTCATTCACCCTCACCTCACCTGTGACGATGAGGGTGAGTGAGGGTGAGTGAGGGCCCTCATGAGTGAGGTTTGCCGAGGTATGGCCGCAAGTGACACAAAGCGCATTTTGGTACAACGAAAGTGTTGTCTGCATTCTCTTCTCGTCCAACCCGGCTCTTCGGGGAACTACGCTTTGGTCCACAGGAGCGCTTCTTTTGACAAAGGCAGTACCTGGTCTACCACTGCCATCTTGTCAAAGCAACTGCCACAGCAGTCTGCAGTAAGTATAACCTCGTAACAAAAGGTCTGGTTACAGCAGCCATTCGGTTATAACTTACCAATTCGTAAAGTTTGGTGGTTTTCCTATCCATGCCATTGAGTCAAGTTTGCTCATTACAGATTCTGTTGCAACATTACACTTGTATACAATGAACTATATCAGAGAGTTTTTAAGTAGTTCACCATCCCATTATAGCACTCTTTGACAGCAGTCATTAGTTCGGACATTAAGCAGTTTTGGTTCGGTAGGAGTGGCATCCATTTTGCGAACTGCTGTCATCGCGCTCGGCGCCTTGAGAGCCTTGTACGACCCAAAGTGCACAGTGATGACGATCATCAGCACAGCTGGATTAAAAAGCCCTACCTTTCAAAGCTCAGAAGTTTCAATATACCAGTTCTTTTCTAATATCCATTCTCATTTCATCAGTCTCACAGAACGGATTCCAGTCGTGGTCCGTCCCAAAGTTTGTAGTAACAGCACCTGCATTCTGCATACTCCTTTTGCAACAGACCAAAATCTTCATCAATATCAAGGTTTGTTATAAAGAGTTTATACCGTAGTACTCTTAAATTTTGCGACTGGGTCAGAAATGGGCACCATCCGAAGGAAAAGGACATTACTAGCCGCACACTTACAAAAATAAGAATGCACAAGCTACAGTGTGCCGTCACGCAAACAATTCATATGACCCATCAAATCGTGGCACATAAAACAGTAATGACTCCGGGAAAAATTTTGAAAAGCCACCAAAATACAGAACGCGTGGCGGCATCCTCACCTGGAAGCGTGCCAAGGGCAATCTCCGGCTGGCCAAACTTGGCCTTCTCCCCGGCGTAGATTATGTCGCACATCATGGCCAACTCGCAGCCGCCGCCCAACTGCAAGAAAAAACGAGCAGCCGGCGCTCACCTCGAGTAACCACCATCTTAACCGGCGGAGAAAATCTGCTCCACATGTTAGATCCCTCCTCTCCGTTACTCGGTCCAGGAGTCATCTCCGATCAATTGGCGTCTTTACCGCTTCCTAGTCTGCGTACGACTGTGAATTGTTGCGATTCGTAAAAGAATTCGGCTGGCAAACGTTACGATGAGGACATCGAAGATGTTTCTTCGCGGAGCAGGCACCATCCATAGATGCGATTCCGAAATGGTGGATAGAGGAATTTCGCATTTATTTGCGGAGTGGTGGCGGCGTGGTCCATCCACGGTGGTGGCAAGCGATGCAATTCATTGTCTGAGCCGCTCCTCCCCACTAAGGCACAATCTATTTAAGTCCTCTCCCATTGAACAGTGCCTGCCAGCAGCCATATGCAGTGTTGCTGTTAAAAAGAAAGGGAAGGTACTGGCTGGCAGGGGGAAAAACTGGGAAAGTCGAGTGGATGGAGGAATTGCACCACTTTCCATCAAGAGGGGACTTTAATCACTGACAAGGCAAGAACGGAAGGGCATGTCTTTCGAACACCCGGCCTCTAGTATGTGCGCCATACCTTTTGGCCTGATTTGGCTAGATACGGTGATGCATTGCCGAGAATAGAAGGCTCACGCTTGTGGTGCTCTTAGTTTAAGCTGTGCCTAGGGCAAGGTTTTGTATAGAAATTAACAGATACGTCACACCATTGTCTCTGTGACGCCGTGAGTGCTCCCCCTCAGCGCCACCCGGATACAAAGCCTTTGGTTAGATTTTTCTGGGTCACCAAAAGAAGGGAAGCGTGCTTTCCCACCCTTTACACCTCTCCTTATTCTGCACGCTCCTCCTACACCCCCTGTTTTTGCTCATCTCTTTCTTCCCCTTTCCACCACTTTCCGCTTTGTGTGCTTTTGCACACCACCTGCTTCTGCTCCTCCCATTCCTGCATGCTGGGTTCGTAACTCAGTCACCAGCATGCTCGGTTTCACGCCGGTGACCGGGGTTCAATCCCTGGCACTGAATGCCGTTTTAGAGCACAGCTCTTAGGCGCCCGTTTCCGGCATGAGCGGCGTCAGCGTCACTGTCGGCGTAACTGCGCGGTGCATTATGGGATGTTTCCCATGATGATGTCACACATGACGTCATGTGTGACATCACGAAGGTCACCAGTGACATCACTCATGACGTCACTGTGCGTTGCATTATGGGTAAATTTCCCCGCTACATTTAGCAAAAAAATTTCCCCGCTAAATTTAGCAGGAGATTTAGCAAACATTTTCCACCAAATGGGAGGCGAGCATGAAAGGAGGAGGGGAGGGTAGGGATGAGGAGGAGGGGCATACGCTACTCTCCGTACCTCCCTTCCTCCTCCTCAAGAGCTGCGCTCTTACACGGCGTTACAGGGGATTGTAAATGTCTTATTTTTTTTCAAGGTTGTTTAGTGGTTACGGATTAACCGACCTACACATTTCGTGCTTACGTGGCTCCTGAAGTAGGTTGGCCCTATAAAGCTGCGGCCTTAAAAATGTAATGACATCCAAGCTTCCAATCCTGATCCTCATTACCATCACAGACTGAAAGGGCAATGACACTGATGTTGTTTAAAAGGCTGCAGTGGAGAAGGTATGCTGCAGCAAGGCACACAAGGTGGTCTGATTTGGTCTGTGCATTTTGTGATCGTACATCAGGCTTCTACTGCTTCAAAACAAACAATAGAGCACAAACTGCACCTACTATGTTCTCTTGCGTGACTGATAATGCAGTTGAACTAGCTGTTTATCAAAGCAAAATGCATCACATGCATTGTGCTTCACATTGCTTGTCAACCTGGTGTAACCCTGAAGCGAATTCTTCAAACTCAGCATCGCCACTCATTTTTGAAACAGGCCCTCTCAATCTTTCACATCTAGACCTGTTTCCCAAACTTTACTTTGACCGACTTTTAGACTCGCATAAACTGAGAGGCTACAGCCTGGCTTACCGCGTAGCCATTGACAGCTGCGATGGTGGGCTTGGTAGACTGTGACACTCTGTCCCAATCGCCGAGGAAGTTGCCGGTAAAGCACTGGGCGAACTTCATCGGCTGCATCTCCTTGATGTCTGCACCAGCTGCATCATGAAGCCAGAATAAACATCCCAATTTTCAAACGCCTGTCCAAAATCCTGCACTGCTCGGTGTTTCGCTTTGAACTAGAAGGCCTTATTTGAATGTTTTGACATGCTCAACATGACGTTCTTGGTTTATGAGTCATCAGAATGTCGTAAAACATGCCACAGAATCTGTTAGATTGTAAATAGGTTTCAGGATGCAAACTCATTGTCCCTGAAAAATTTAAACCGAGTTTATGTAGGTCCTTTTACAGGGGGCTATACACATTCATTATTAAAATGTGTTCAAGAGTATATGGAACTTGGTTGCAAAGAAACTTGACTTAATAAAACCTAATAAAACACTCTAATATAATTCCAGCAAACACCTCCAAGGCTTTAAAAATCTCCTTCTCCTAAAAAAACTAAAAAAACTTTGAAACTTTCCTTGCTACTCTTGAAACATATCTAGCTAGCGTTGGTACGCTTTTTCCTATAGTTGCAGAGTTCCACACTACTGTTGCAAACATCCCTCACTACTCTTGAAGCCTTCACTAGCATTACTTCAATATATACTACACATGATGCTACATTTCTCCCTATCGCAGCATTTGCCTCACAGTTGTTTAAACATTTATTACAACTGTTGCAACAGTGATGCAAAATCAGCAGACTGTGGAACCAGAGACTCACACCTAAAAATATAATGTTTTGGTCACGGTTACCATTTCTTGTTGACATCGGTTTCGTTTCGGTTTTTTTACGGTTTTAAGTTGTACAATTTCGGTTACCAACTATATGTTCCTAAACACCATTTTATTTTCTGGTTTCTCTCATAATATGTTTTATTGAAATGCTAGACATGCATTTTATAATAAATGGTTTAAAGTAGTCCCAGATATCCAACAACAAGACATTCACAAGAACAAGGAACTCAAAAATGTCTCAGTACTTCTAATTGGTCAAAAGTTGCACACGTTTCTAGCTCCAACGCTTGCTCACCACATCTATTTGCACTAAATATTGTCTGATACCAAAGCATGCATGTTACCCCCGCTACCTGGGGATCATTGCATTCTACATAATAAAAATAAACATTGCTACTTTGTTGTTCGGCAGTGTTGGTAAACAACTTTCAGAAAGTTCCCACTGGGTGCTTGAAGAACCATTCACTCCTTCCATTCACTATACTATAGTCCGTTGCAACCTAAGAACGAAGGGCGAGGATAAGACAGGCCGGGGAGGAGGACGCAGACGGAACGCTGGAGAAGAGAGAGGGAAACCTCCTCCTCTCTTTAGCGTTCCGTCTGCTTCCTCCTCCCCGGCCCGTCTTACCCTCGCCCTTCGTTCTTAGGTTGCAACGGACTATAGTTTGTTCCATGCAACCTAAAGGCTTATTCGCACGATGCATCTTTTCAACGCGCAATGGTTTAGCGAAACCGAGATTCCACGAAATCGGCCTGTTCACACATGAAGTCTGAAGCGCAAAACCTGCGACGTATTGAGTAACGAGAATTTCGCCAAACGCTGCCTCTGCACCGAGAATATCAAGCGCTTCGCATTGAATGGATATGAGGTATGCACTGTGTGAAAAGACAGTCTACTTTAGTAATACTACTCCATAAACTCAGCTCACTGGGTTTGCTAGGCCTGCCAAACCCGGGAAAGATTGTGAACGACGAAGAACAAGCGGATCATCTCAAAGTATTTTGGACATTTTTGCACTGCTAAAAGATAAGTTATCCTACCATGTTTATATGTGGTGCTTGCACTCGTCGTGACTGTTGATAAATCTGCGCAGCACCGTCAATTCATGCGCTAACCCATATCGCCCGTGTGCAACCCGTACACACCACTTCTCCGCTTGTCGCTCGCAGCCATGTTTGTCTTTTCATTTCAACATTGGCATGGATACAGAATCGGCTAAAAATCAGACTCCTTCAAAATTGTCGCTCCGTCTTAAAGATCAGACATCATAGCAATTTTGGGCAGCCACTAGCAGCATCCATGTTTCTCCTTCAGGTGACTGACAAGCCTCGATGAGGTTTCAGCAAAATATCACTCCAGAAGCGAGGAGTGCACACAACCTTTTTCGGAGGTGCGCCACGTTTTTGGTTGTTTGGCGACACAACATTTACCAGCAAGATACATTGTGTGAATAGACTTTAAGATATGCCGAAGAGACTTCACCCACACTGAAGGAAGGAGCAAAATTATTGTCCTCCTCTAGTAAAATACTGCTAAGTAGAATAAAGCAATAAAATTGAGAGCTGAGCTAGTTACAACACAGAAAGCTGTAAAAATGTGTCCTGTGTTGTTTATTCCTTTCCCCAGTCCTCGTTATTGTGAGCTGCTACATCTAAGTCGTTTGCTACTTTCAAGCAAATGCATGTGTTTATAGAAGCGCAAGTTTCTTGTAGTCCGATTCCGTGATGCTAGAAAAATTGTGCATTTATATATAAGAAAAATATATAAAAAAGGTGCGGTTGTAAAAAATGAAAATAAAGTGTGGACACGAAAGGATAAGATAAATATACTTATATACACAGGGTGTTTCACATAAGAGTGACAAAATTCCTACAGTTAGTGTATTCCAGGTAAAAAAATCATTTTCTCGGGACTATATTACACATAGTGACGGACGTCACAAAATGTGTGATACTTACCTATTGGTTTGCTAATTAATTAAAAATGACTAATTAACTTTTTAATTAGTGAAAATAGACATATGGTTTTAATTAGAAACCTGCCGAACGTCATCGAAAACCACTAAAGTCAGTCATTTTCAAAAAGACTGAGCTCGTGAGAAACGTAGTAGTGCACTAAAGTCACCACTCGTGGAGCAGGTACAAGGCTAATAGTTGCAGTAAGATGCCCGTGCGTTTTTCCGTCTCTTATCTAGCCCCAGCCTTGTACCTGCTCCACGAGTGGTAACTTTAGCACACTACTATGCTTCTCACGCGCTCAAAGTCTTCATGAAACTGACTGATTTAGTGGTTTTCGATGACGCTCAGCAGGTTTCTAATTGGTACCATATGTCTATTCTCACTAACTAAAAAGTTAATTACTAGTCATTTTTAATTAATTAGCAAACTAATTAGTAAGTATCACGCATTTTCTGATGTCCGCCACCACGAGCAATGTGGCCCCGAGAAAATTATCCTTTTACCACGAATACACTAATTTGAGTAATTTTTGTTACTCTTACGTGAAACACCCTGACAGTGACTTTATATGAAACGTCAATCGACATCTTTTTTTTTTTCTGTGTTTTTCCAAAATTGTTACTTGTGACACGCTTCAGATGAAAAGAATACCAGGTGTTGTTTTCTGCCAGCTCTGCCTTACGGTCAATTTACCTCGTTTTTTCATACTGGCTACTGCAGGTCAGGAACAATGGTGGTTTTGACAGAATTGAGTTGGATGGACATCTCAGAATTCTAACTTATTATTTAATACCCTGAAGGCAACTGATACTGAATACATGTAGTAATTGTAGGAGTGGCAGATTTTGAAATAGAGACTTTTTAATATAAGCTCGGCCACTGATTCCAACTAGGTAAGTATTCTTAATCCTAAATTTAGGTTGAATAAAAATGCATTACCAGAAGCACCACTCGCTGACGGTAACTCTGCAAATGGCCCCAACATTTAAAGGCTCTTGCTCAAGGTCATTCTTGAGAAAAACTAAAATTTTTATTTTCCAGTTAGTATTGGTTATTGATAAAAAAATTTAGTTCTGGTTAGGGGTTTTATACATTTCAAATAACTGTTTTGTTCCAGTTACGGTTACCGAAAAGTTTTCGTTCCTAAACGGTTTCGTTCCCTTCACCCCATCAATGATCCCACTAGGCAGATATGACTGCTAAGATCAGACACCTTAACGTGCGCGCTGGTCACAGCGGTATATTTTTGCAACATGCTAGCGCACCACTTGTCATGCCATACCATCATGCAACTAAACATATCAATTATACACAACCAATTACGTTGTAGCGGCACTTAAAATCACTTTTGCCGGATGTTCGAAGTTTCGCCTGAAGTCGTTGGAAATGTTCTTCCGTCCTCCGGAAATGTTCAAACAGTTCGCGACGGAGCGAAACTTCTTTGCCAGAGTTTCCTAACGCCGCGTATCCAAAGCTCAGAAAGTGGCATTTCTGAGCCGTAAGAATGGCCAATGGACACTTTCTGAAATTCAGTCTGGCCACATTGATAAGTATTGTTATCTAAGCTTACATCAACGTTACTAGATTACCTCAGTTGTGGAACTCCCGCAGAAGGGGGTACCGGGCCCCTCACTCACTTCAATCAGCCTGCCGTCGGTCGAAGTGCCATCTACATTTTCGTTTCATAACTGTGCGTTATAAAAAAAACGCCATCTAGACGCCGTGCTTCGAAACGTACGTATCCCATAGAATACACTGCAATCACCAAAGCAGCCGTCTGGCACGCGACGCCAGGCGAGTCGTGGTGAGTGAAGGGGTACTGCTTGTGCATGCAGTGTCTATGAGCAGTTCCGTAACTGAGCTAATCTAATAACGTTGGTGTACATCATCTCCGAGTGCTAATGGCGACCTTTTGATGGCTGGTGAAGGAAGTACCGTATTTGCACGCTCCAAGATGCGAGACGCGCTCCAAGACGCACCTCGCGCTATATTCAGAATCGATTTCAGTCACAAGATGCGCGAGTCTCGAGAAAGCCATCCCTGTGGCTCAATGCAGGAGATTGGATGGGAAAAGAAGTGGTGTGTGGGAGGGAATTTATTAGCAACTAGGCCACGTATTGAAATGGGTGTGTATCGCAAACCATGTGAAACAGATAATTTTTTGGATTTTTTGTCCCATCACTTAGTGCAACACAAAATATCAGTAGTGCGATTGTTTGTACGGAGATCAGATATCGTGCCATCTAACGAGCTCCATGGCGTAAATGAGATCACTCATTTACAGGAACCCAAAGCGTTTTCTTGACGAAGTCAGCACAACCATAAGAAACAAAATGTGCAACCGTGCGAAACGGAAAGAGATAAGAATGTAGTGTGCATCCCCTATGTCAAAGGAGTCTCCGAACCTCTCAGTTGCACTTTGAGGCCCCTTGGTATTCGAACTGTTTACAAGCCATACAGAACTATTGGAAATTCCGTTTCCAAACCAAAGGACCCAACCCCGGCGAACGTCCAGAGAGGCGTTATCTACAAGATCCCCTGCAGTGACTGCCCAGCGTCCTACATTGGTGAAACCGGACGGAGGAGAGAGACCAGACTCAAAGAACACAAGCGTGGCGTCACGTACGCATCCCACGCGACGCGACTGAAGACTGAACTGGTGGACCATGCGTGGGCAATGGGGCATTCTTTTGACTTTGCGGCCGCGACGACCTTGGCGAGGGAGGACACATGGGGGCCCCGGAAACTCCTAGAATCATGGTTCGTCCGCAAGGACACATCCACGTGTAACAAAAACCGCGGCCCTCTACACGAAGCTTACACGGACATTCCTGATAAATAGCGTTGACTTGAAGTTGAACCTTGCATTTGCTTTGTAACTGCTGAAGATGCCTCTCGCATGGGAGGCGAAATGTCTAATGAAATTGCTTTTTCTGTTGTGTCAAGTCGGTGCTCTTATTTTAATTATGACATGAAGTGTTTGTTTATGCGGAGGGACCAAAACAAGAATGAGTGTGATCGTGTATCGGGTTCAGCAGTCTTTTTCTGCCTGCGCATTTTTTTAGCTTCTGCTCCAGAGTGGTCTGGTGCTTGTGTGCTGGTGCTTCTGCTTTCGCCTCGCTTTGCTTGCGGGCTACCGAGGAGCTCAGGACCGAAGAAAAACGAACTACCGGACAAGCGGCTCTGTGCTGCTGCGTATCTGCATAGTCGCCAAGTGGATTGCAAACGAAAGGACTTGAGCAGTGAGGATGAAAGGAGTCAAAACATAAACTGATATTTTTTTCTATTTCCATTGCCTTTTCACTCCTTGAGTCAGGCAAATTTACGCGGCCTCGGCTCGCATTATAATAGTGATATATGTCTTTTTCTCTTTCTGAAGGCATCAATACCTGCCCTCGCGTTATATTCGTGGTCACGTTATGTTCCTGCAGATACGGTATTTGAAAACTGGCACTGATGCGGGACACAAACACTCTAGACAATAGTTTGCTCTAATTGTTTGATGTCACTGCGACGAGACTTACAAGCTGCTGTACGCTACGCATTTGATGGCGTCGTGTAAATCCTTGGAATGCTCGGCTCAGGCATGCCCCAGACAGATCATCACAATAACACGTGGTGAATTTCATCGAGGATCATGTGACAAGCTAGTTGGTTATACATTAAAGACGAGGACAAGTAGAAGACACAGATGCGCCTGTCCGTGTCTGTGTCTTCTACTTGTCCTCGTCTTTATTGCTACTTTTCAGAATTTCAGAAGTTTCGGAATTTCATCGAGTTTTACTCAACTAAGCACCTCGAAGAGTAGTTGTTTCTTGACACCACCAAAACTGAAATGAGTAGGAAAATCTGCACAGCGAACACCACGGCAACTTTGGTACGTCTGCGGTCGACAAATATGGGGTAAATTTTGACCGCCATTAGAATGCAGAAGTTCAGACCGGCATCTGAACCACCACACGCCACTGCATTTGCGGAAGGGTCCATTGGGCCTGTTCCGGTATGCCTATACTCGAAGCCATGGGTTCTCCAGCCGGGTTCCCAGGAGCACGGGGCATCCCCAGAGTACCACCGCAGGTTAACTGAGCTCCCAAACCTTCTAGACCGTTCCTGCCCGCAAGTAAAGCGTTTTCCTAGTTTAAGCACTATTTTGGCAGATCTAAGTCACCCCTCTCCCAGTCTATGCATAACTATGAGCCAGATGCTCCCCAGGATGTTCATTATATTTGAAAAAACAAAAGCTCTTTAGGCTCCTGAACTGCTCTACTGCGTCAATGTCGTCACTGGGAGGGCTTCCACAGCTATCGCTCGAGGCAAGCAAGAACCTGTCGAGGTTGAGGACCCCTGCCCCAGAGGCAAGAGTCCTAAACACTTGCGCTTGCTCGCGATCGAGTTCTTGCGATTTCCTATGATGGGAGCACATGCTAGCATGCCGGCGCCGCCTATGGGGTGGACCCGGAACTGCATTTCACTAGTGTGGAGGTTTTGCAGCATCTGCGAGGTCAAACATGCATACAGTCCACGAGAAACTAACGTCGTCAAAAGTTTTTCGAGCCAAAAAGGAACGAATGAAGTGTAAATGAAAAAAAGGAAATGTATAGAAACTAAGTGAGGTGGTCGGCTGGACGAGTCAGTACCGATGAAATGCGGCAAGAGTTACACAGAGAAATACGGGAATAGAGGAGAGATACGTGTAGGCAACAGACGAGCACCGGGAAACCACAAGTGTTCCACGGCAGCCCGATAGGTGGTGTCAGTGTATTGTCTCGTCGTAAGAGATCTTAAGGGACATATGAAAAGGAAAAAATGCTTTTTTAAAAACAGCTTGAATGGGAAAAGGATATCATAAAATGAATTTACAACGAAAATAAATTTTTTTTAGAGCTAGATTTACGGCGAGAAACGAATTCGTAGTTGGTGCCCGCGGGAACCGCCACTAGTCACGTGGTAAACCTGTGCGCCGCCGCGCTGCACCGGCGCAAGTTACGCCAGAGCCATTCAGTGCTGCCACTGAAGTCCCCTGATCCCCCCTGCCACCGCCACACACTGAGCGTGGCGTGCCAACAGCAGAACGCGTTTCTCCACGCCGCCGCCGCCGCTGTCAATTTTTGAGCGACACACAGGTCTATCCCGTGGTGCTTGCGCTCTTTCAGGAGCTTTCTATGGGCTCTAAAACTTACTTATTAATCTTCCTCTTTTGTTGCACTTAAAATAAAGATGAACTTTTAGAGCCCATAGGAAGCTCCCAAAAGAGCGCAAGCACCACGTGACTATAGCAACCAGTCACGAGACCATAGCGGCCATTTTTCTGCTTGCTCCCGCGGGCGCCAACTACAAATTATTTTCGCATCGTAAATATAGCTCTAAAATTGTTTTCGGTGTAAATTTATTTTATGACATTCTTTTTCCATCCAGGCTGTTGCTTGTTAAGAGGTTTTGAGGCTCAAGATTGTAAGCAGTAGCAAGTGTGTGAAGCAGCCACAGGTGTGGCGTACTCAGAGGCTCTAGGAGTACCTGCAAAGGCCTTCTCGCTGCCTGTGATGACGATGGCCCCAACAGTAGAGTCCTTGTTGAGTTCCTCGATGGCATCACCCAGCTCCTTCATGAGGGGACTGCAAAGGGCGTTGAGGGCCTTGGGCCGGTTCAGCGTGACCAGCGCCACATTCTGCTGGGCTCCCCTCTTCTCCACCAGGATGTGCTGGTACGAGGCTGCCATAAGAAACAGCGAGTTCGGAATCAAATGAAAGCATCGGACGCGCTAATCAAGCTTGCACGAGCTCAGTCGCATTGCCCAATGTAGAAAGGTAAAACATTTAGCCTTATTTATTTCGGTTCGGGAGAGCCCAGCATGGCAGAAGCGCTAGTACGCCGTACCATAGTGCGATGATGAATCTAATCATGATCTCAATATTAACCACAGAGTCGATGATATTGCTCAATTGAATTCCCTATCTCCAACATCGATGCAACGAGGAACGACATGACAAGACGCAATGTGACGACGCAACGAGCAGCGTACTGTGTCGCAGGATAGAACTGCCGAGGAGCAGCTTTTAGACGTGCTGCCTCTTGCGTGAGTTAGCCATATTAGTGTCTAGACTCTCGCTCAAAGTTCACACAGGCTAAAAATGTTGTCAAAAATGAAAAGGTTGTATCCCAGATGTGAGATGAACTTGACGTGCATTCTGCTAAATTTAGAGAAAAAAATGACGTTGCCTGACCCGACATCGGGTCACAACAATTTCCCTGCTTGTAACTTGAGTTTACTTTTGGGGTTCATTTTCTTTCCCGCAGATTTGGCGTGTTTTTGCGCCCAATTGTCGCGGTTGAACGAGAAAGCTAACATTTACCAAAGCTCATGCTTAAAAAAAAAAACAGGACGCAGACACGGAATTTTTTAATGTGCCATGCTATCAATATACAAGATGGTGCTTGAAGCTCATAGTGTTTAGAGTTCCTGAATAGGCGCCCTATGGGGGGGTCGGTGGTCGAGTGGGCTAAAGCACACACCCAGCTCGACGTGCGTGGAGCGAAAGCTCGCGCTGCAGAACCCAGGGATCCTGGGTTCGAGCCCCACCCCTGCCTGTTTCAATCTGGATGAGCATCGTATCGGCGTGCAGTCATGCATCACTACTGCGTAAGCACGTAAAAGAGCCCGGGTTAGCAGTCATACTGCACTGGCGAAATTGCTCATCTCCAGTGTAAATCAGCGACGCCCCATCCTGGCAGACCGACCTTACACTGTATAAACACTAAACGCCCAATTTGACTTTTGGCGCCCTAAGGGAGCCAGAGTTGCACGTTCATCCCCGTAGTGCCGGCTTTCCTGCACGGCATTCGGAATCTGCTCCTCGTGTTATTGTATTCAGCGAATAGCAGGGGAACGTACGCCGGGGCGCGCGCAACGTCTACTTTCCTGCACGGCATTTGAGTCAACTCCTTACATCATCGAATCTCGGCGAATAGCGGCGCGGCGGCGCGTGAGAAACAGACTCGCAACTCTAATTCCCGTAGCGAGCCGTTACAGGCTCGCTACACTTTCGTAACCTTTTGAAACATACATGTAAATGTCCGACCTAGGTGCCCACGACTATCAAGTGGCGGTATAAGGACGCGAACGGCATGTACTTCCCTCGTAGGATCACCCGCTCGCTCTCCGTCCGCCATCCCAGACTCCCCCAACGCAGCACGGCACATTTCTGTGCACTGAAACGTAGCCCCAGCCGGCTCCCATGTCACGTGTACACATCAAAAAAGTTCCTGTAGACCAGACCTCGAGCTCGCCGTCAGCACGATGTAATCAACGTAGAGCAAACCGGGAAGCGTCTGGGGCACCTTATGTCCATCCATCATCATGCTTGTGTTTGGCCATCATGTTTACTAACAATGTGATGTGGATAGGGCCGCTTAAAAGGAGAGGGGGGTGGGGCACAGTCGGACAGATGGTGTGAGGCCGGACCTGGTACTGTCACTGTAGCCGAGCGTACTGATGATCATGCACGCCACTTACACCACTTTCCTGCGAAAGGGTGCCTTGCACGCTGCAGAATAACCTCAATAAATGCATAAAAAAATAAATTACTACAAAGCGGCCTGAAAAAATAAATAGTTGGTAGTTGTTCAGGGGGAGTTTCATCTGCCAGAACATGGCGACACTGTTACCCACTGTAGATGAGCAATTGAGCCAGTGCAGTTCGACCGCTGGCCTGGGGTCTTTAACGTGCACCACGCAGTAGTGATACACGACGGCACGCCGGTGCGATGCTCATCCAGATCGAAACGGGCAGGGGTAGGGATTGAAGGCAGACTGAAAAGTTCATCCACGCTGATGCCCTTGAAAAGACGGCAAAAAAGACGAAAAGAAAAAAACGATAACTCGATAAGCTTTCCACTCACCACTCGCTAGTCTTCGTTTGAGGACTTCGAGGCCGCTGAGGCCAGTTTTCCTAGGAGCTAGAAGCGTTCTCAAGCAGAGTGCAGTGTTCATCTTTACCTGGCTTTAACTTTTACGAGAGGTATGAAGTTGAGAATTATGTGCAACGCGCTTTTAGATCAACTACGCAACCACGTTGCCACCGGAAACGCCACCGGGCTGAAAAATTGAGATATCTTGCACGCACGCACAAGCAGCACCGCAGCTGGCCGCTCAAACACCTGCAAATTAAATCGGTAAAACTGTAAATCTCGCAGGGCCGGCTCATGCAGAGTCAGCCGAAGCGCATTTGTCGTCTTAAATATTTCCTTATTGTCACAAGTATAAATGATTATTTTAAGTAATTTATTTTTTGCATTTTAAAACCGTCTATTTAAAATAAATATTCGCTAATTTTCTTATTTTTTAAACATCCTTTGAGATACGAGACAGATACTTCTGGTGATGCAAAAAGTCGGCTCGGCAGAAATGATGGCGGATGTTGTTTTTCAGCGCTTGTCGAGGTGGATTTTCTCTGGAATCGAGCGATAACCCACAATTTCACGCGTCAAAATGAACATCTGGCCCGGAAACCGGTACGGCAACGGCCTCCTCTTTGCAGGCTTCAACCAGGACCAAGGTAAGCGGACGGACTCGGCGCCGACACGGCGCCGCCTCGACGTAAACAAGCCTGCAGGCGTGTCAAAAAGAAGGGTATCGTACCCATGTCCCTCCCGTGTCTCGCGCAGCTCGCAGCAGGCGCCTACGAATCTTCGTCATCGCCGTTCGTTTCTCTCGCGCGTGCAGACATCCTTTATTCGAGGTATCGGAGAGTGGATAATTTTTTTTCGGAGAGAAACGGAGCCCCGCTTTGAGCCGACGTCTTGGGTTCCCTGGAATCGCGCGAGGTACGCGTTGAGGCGTTGATAACGAGGTCACTTGCCCTGGGTGTCTTTGCCAGCGCTGTCAGGCTTGAAATATGACCGATGCACGCGTACGCGGGAGTCTGAAGTACTCGCTTGGTCTATCCGCGGGGCCCCCGATGCGGGCAATAAAATCGGTCGGTGCTGCGGGCCTCTTGACACGGACCTACGGTCTTCCGGTGCGCTATGGAATACCGAATGCGAACCGGGGCTAAAAAAGAAGACAGGCGGTGCGCTGTGTGCCGTCTTTGTAGAAAAGTAATTGTGTTGTATGTCTAGGCAACGGAAAGTTGGTCAACCCCAACGTATGCCTCGTCTCTCCGCTGTGGACGAGGAATGTATACCTAGTGCCATAGCCTCCTCTATACTGAGTATCGAGGAGGCTATGCCAGTGCAATACGACCGCCAGCCTGGAGTCTTTACGTGCATCACGCGGGCCCTACTACTACTCGTCGGAAATGCCACGAAGTTGCCCGCGAGTGTAGTGTTTTTTACACGAAAATGAATTTGGAGCGGGTTGGTAAGGGTGATTTGAAAAACACGAAAGAGTAAAACGTGTGGGACGAAGACAGGCGGTGCATTTCTTTCAACTAGTAACCGACATTTAATGATGCCACCCTCAATATGTCAGCCCTTCTCTTCCCCGACCCCGAAATCTCTAAAAACAAATAAGAGAACCCTCGGAAAAACAACAGAAACCCAGGAGAAAGAAGGATCTGTTAAGGAAGAAGAGAAAAAAAAAAAGAAAAGGAAGAATGTAAGGGAAGTGTTAAAGGGGCACTAAATCGAAACTTAAAATATACCTCTCACGTTCAGAAATATGTTAAACTTGATCAACTCTATCTGCTAATGACAATTGCGTGCTTGTAATTCGAACGGATGGCTATTTTTCTTTCTTTCTTTCTAAATGTTTGATTCTGGCATCTGCTTCAAGATCAGCCATCGAAAAACGCGGTGCGTCTTGGGATATCCATCGCGCCCGTGACTTGCCTGCGAAGTCATTGGCCTTCCTAGGGCCAAGCATACCATAGTTACGAGCGTTGACACTTGGTGACGTCGACACGCTACTGCCTCGCTTAATCAGAATGCCCAAGGGCCATAACATATCACCGGGATATTGCGGAGCAGACGACGTAGTGCGTCGTCTGCTCCGCGGCTTGGCTAACATGGCGATATTGGTAACGTCTGTTTCAGGCATGAGCTTGTGGCTCTTTAACGGAACGGGACAACATCGCCACGAGGTAGCTAAGGTACCTCTGTTATCTCGCATGAGGCCAGATGCTGGTAGATTTAGCACCTTATGTTTAAAGTGACGGCAGGATCTTGCGTGATATTGGTAGGACGAGGCAATTGCTGCTTACCTGATCTACCGCCGACTGAACACAATGACCAGACTCAGTGAGGGCGCCAACTTCGCAGATAAATAAATAATGCTTTGAAGGGGCGCCATAACAGTTGTCACCCTTCATATATTAAAGCGAGCAGGAATGCAGGCCACATCCGGTGAGGCAGCATGGTGGTGGCATCACTCAAGTATTTCACGAAGTGAATCCAATCGATAGGGGTATGACCGCAGCATTATTACGCCATTGCAAAGAAACGCGTACATCCAACGATTTTGCGGTACTCTTTGACACAAGGGTGACTGCTAAACAAACGAAGTAAAGGCATCGGCGTAGAGGAAGCTTGCGCTGGTCTCGACGGGATGCGATTTTCCAAGCGAAGGCACACAGCACAGAACAGGACTAACACAAAAACTATCACCGAAAAACGCTCACATCGCCATGATTTTGCAACGCGGCTTGTCTCAATGGCGAACACTATACAAATAAAATGAAGCGATCGACACTGCTTTCGCCTGTCTCATTAGTCTCGTCCGAGTCTTACACATCCGTAGCACTTATCACGTCGACGGCAACTAAGTTGGACGGCGAGATGAGTGCTGAATTCCCACACTGTTGCGCAGAAACTACCACGCACAAAAGCAGATACCGGCAGTGCTCTGCGACGTAAACTTGGGTCACTTAGAGGTCGGTGTCCCTCGGCGAGAACGACGTTGAAAGCAGTGCGCACCATGTTAAAAAAGGGGGTTCATGAGCCCCTGATGTTCGTGACATAGAAAGAATGAGTGGAAGCGATTGACTGGCAGAGTGAATCCAAGGTGGCCAACTGTGCTTTGGCTTTCTTCACCAAACCTTCGGTATAGTGTGTTTTCCTTACTACAGGGCTCAAATCCAGGTACTACGCCTGGATTAGACAGTAATTCAAATCATGTCTTAAAGAATTGTGCCTGGACATTGACCCCCTTTCTGGTTATACTGTTTAATAAATCATTAGAAAACAATAAACTCACCTGCAAAAGGAAGACTGCCAATGTTGTTCCAATACACAAATTAGGTCCTAAAAACTGTGTCATGAACTTTAGGCCTATCTCGTTCACCGGCGTGTGCTGTAAAACCTTGGAACATATTGTTTATTCTAACATTATGAAACATCTAGAAGCTAACAAATATTTCACATCTTACCAACATGGTTTTAGATCAAGCTTGTCTTGTGTCACCCAGTTGAGTGACACGCTAGCACCAAGGCGTGTTAGCTACCACATGTCGCTACCACCCCTGCTCGTTGCCAGTAGAGTGGCAGCTGGAGATTCAGAGGTGTATGGATAAGCCTCAAAATTAGTTTTATCGAAAGAAAATTATAATTTTGATGAGATATCTTGTAGACACACTCGGGGGCAGATATTTAGTGCATGGTGAAAATTTTCTAAAAATCAATGACCATCAATATTTTGCCGGTGGTCATTTGAACTTTGCCTCGCCTTGCCTTGAGTTATCCAAGACTGAAATGGAGTTTCTGGGGCAGGAGTGAAAGTAGTCAGCTCCTTTTCTTTTCTCTTTTTTCTATTTCTTCCTTCTATTCTTCTTCCTTTTTTTTCTTTCACAGTTCCCTTATAATCTGTTTCCTCTTTTTCCTTATCAGACTCTTCTTTTTCTCGTGTTTCTTCCTTTTCTACGAAGGTTTTTTTTTTTCATTTTCTGAGGGATGTTGGGGTCAACGTTACTGGAGCAAGCTCAGTTTCATAGCTCCGCCTGCGACGTGGGCTCAGTGGCGTTCACGAGAACTAGCAGCGCTGCAGTCGAGTCTTGCTTCCGGATTGTCTAGCCCGCCAAGTTTGAATAGCAATACTTGAGCTTGGGCCAGTTGGTGATTCATTCTAACACTTCGCAGGGCAAGGAAACAGACCCACACAAAAATAAAGCTCAGACTCAAAGAAAGAACACAGTGCACCGACTCTGACCACTGTGGTGTATTACACTTCATCTTCATCATCTTTTTTTTGCTATTATACACATGGAAGTAAAAAAAGAAAAAGGAAGAAAAGAAAAAGAAAAGGAAGCTCTCAACGCGGTGGTAAACTCCATTTCACCTTATGTTGTACTGCAGCGAAGACTAGAAGCGGGAGCTCATAGCGTTGGCAGCTGCCCTTGGTGCACAAGAGCTTGTGCTGCCGAGATGTGCCCGAGAGCAAGGAGCTCGTGCTTGTAGCCTTTCCTGCGGTACAACACAAGGGGAAAGAGAGTATATTAGACGGCGCACGAGACAGGGAAGTAAGATCCGACTGCAGTGCCTCTAGTTCTCGTGACCGCCACCTGAGCCACTTGCCTTTGCAGGCGAGAATGGGGAGCTGCAAAACTGAGCTTGCTCCAGTAACGTTGGTTGGGGTGAGGGAAGGGAAGGGCTGACGCATTGAGGGTGGCATTATTATATGCTGGTTGCTAGTTGAAAGAACTCTACTGTCTTGTCTATCTCCCTACATGTTCTATTCTTTTGTGTTTTTAAACTAGTGTTTGTTCACTTGCACTTTCAGTATTCTTGCAATGTACCAACTAGCCCATCTCCTTGTCTTGCTGATGTCACTTGCATCTCTTCTTGAGTGCGACTAATTTGTTCTCGTTTTGGTGTCGCAGGTTGTTTTGCTTGCGGCATGGAGACCGGATTCAGAGTGTACAACTGCGACCCTCTGAAGGAGAAGGAAAAGCAAGGTATGGGGTCTTATACCGCTGTTTCATGGGTGTGTTGAAGGTTTTCAGAGCAAACTTCATTATAGAAAAATGACAAACACCAGATATTCTTTTTAAAGGACTGTTTAGTTTTTAGTGAAATGGCAAATATTAGGTCAACAAAATAGATTTGGGCCTTCCTTGCACGAGTGGTCGTGCAGGCAGAAGATTCTTTAGAGCTCATGGGTGCATGGCTTTTAGGAAGCATCAGTCTACTCCATCTCACAAATGTCTACAGCACAGGCAAAGGTATGTACTTAGAGGTATGTGAGCCTAGCTCAGCAGAATGATGTGGTTTGTAGAAGAATTAACATGCAAAAAGCACTTTCTAAAACCACGCATTTGTGCACGGGCCTTTGTCGGCATTGGAAATGTGTGCAAGATGAATTACAAAAATCGTTGTCTGTCCCTGAGCAAGGCGTCTGTGCTTCCATGGTTGCCGTTAGCGGGTAGTTGCCTGCAGAGTTTGTCTGCTGTCCTTGCTCTGACGCATTGCTGTTGACATGGTAAAGGCCCCTTCACACTCTTGCGACCGAGTACGACTGAGAGAGACGAGACCTGTTAAAACTTCTTAAAATTTCTTAGGACGAGGGAACACACTGGCATTCTGGCGCCATCTATGCGGTGACCCTGGAACTGCATTTCACAAGAGCAAAGGTTTTGCGGGATTTCCGAGGTCAAATGTGCGTAGTACCTATAAGAACGGCTTGTTTATAACATTCACATAAGTTTTTCAAGCCAAGAAAGAAAGGATAATGCGCGAGAGAAATAGAAAATATGCCGGACCGCCAAGTTTCCACCGCTACCCAATAGATGGCATCAGTGTGTCCTCTGGTTGTAAGAGGTCTTAAGGAACCCAGTTTTAAGAGGTCGTAAGAATGTGAACGGGCCTTAACGTGGTAAGCGTGGGGCTTGCACCTTTCACATGTTAACATGCATCGCACCAACATATTAAAAAATAGTGCGAGACGATCCCGGTAGACGTACTGCAGTGGTACCCAGACTTTGCTACCCTGCAACCCAACAAAAAATATAAAAATGGTGTCGCGGTGCTACAAGTTTTTCGATTTTGTGCATCCCCGGCTTTTCGTGGTGTCGCAAGCTTCTCGATTTCAGCGCACAAACTGGGATGCACAAAATTGAGGCTGGTATTTTATTTGACAAATAATATACTGACAGTAAACCGTCGCAAAGAAAAAAATAAATGCGCGCCAGCAGGAACGATTTTTGATGATGACTGAAGTAAGCTTGTTTGGTTCAAGACACACTTTTCCAGAACAAGGGCAGAGTTTGGACACCATAACTTTCGGTCCTGCTTGATGCCAGGCCGTGACCTGTGCCTTGTTTTCATCGATACCACCACAGAAAAGCCACGTTAACTTTCTTTTTTTTTTTAAGCTACTCAGTTTTTTTGCGACCCCCGCTGAATATGTCGCGACCCCGCTTTGGGGTTGTGAACTGCAGTCTGAGAAACACCGACATACTGCAATCCCCTCGACAAAACAGAAGGAGCCTGTCGGTCGAGCACCACTACGAAGACGTGCCCTGCATATTTGTCCCTACCTAAGTTTGTTTGTTTCGTTACAATGAATTTTGGTTTGAACTTGAAAACATGGAAGTCCCAGACAGCAGTTCCTCGGGTCTTGGGAGAGCTATGAAACATGCTTTGTACGGGTGCACTTATGTGCAGATTTCTCGGACGGCGGCATAGGGTCAGTGGAGATGCTCTTCCGCTGCAACTACCTTGCCCTGGTGGGGGGCGGTAAGCGGCCCAGGTACCCTCCAAACAAAGGTAAGCCTTCGGTTTCAACCGAGAAAATCTCTGTCCAGACAGCTCAAGTCGTTCGAATAAGCATAGATGAAGCAGCAAGTTAGTTTTCATTGGAATGTGCGACTTGCATCTTCGCTGCAAATGGACAATGTGACTAGTGGTAGTCTAGTGTGGCTACTGAGTTGGGGAACTCGGGGGGGGGGGGGGGGGGGGGTCTATAGATTGTAGTAAATGGATGAATGCCAGTGCAACGTCTCTCTGTTTCAAATTCAGTAGGAGAAACGGTGGATCTCTAGATGTCCCAATTCAGGAGCATGAGCTTTCTTTGTCTTAGCATCTGGAGAGTTTTGAAAGGCAGTGGCTTTATTATCCTGCTTTTACTAAGAAGTGAAGCAATATGTTATTGAATGAAGTGCTTCACAACCGCCTTTCCGTTTTACATCACCCATTGCAGCTTGGAAAAGGAGAGCGGCGAGGGAAGAGGCACCGGTGAATTGTGCTGTTAACCGTGCAGTTGCCGCTGGGATGCCATGACCATGTCTGTTTTAGTGCTGTTTTTCAGGGATTAACTCTACAGAGATAATTTCCAAAAAGCCTCAACGGTTGTTGCGAAAAATGGCTCGTCGGGTGCGGAATGGGGAACAGTTCAGATACGCCGGTTTCCTCGCTTTGGTACTGCGCAGAAAACAAGCTCTCTTTGAGACATGCCCAAACAAGTCCAAATTCCATCCGGTCATTGGGAAGCGACCATCGTTGACGCCGTAGATTGAATGTGCCGCAATGTTCGAGATCTTTCTTGAACGAACCCCGTTCAGATAAGGCGACAGCGTGGAGTACGTTCCATGTGTTGTTCGGTCGACGGGAGTCAGCGAATTTTACATTGTGAGCCGAGAAGGCCCGTGTCTTTCAGCTATCTCGAGTGATCATATATCTTCGACACTCGAGACCTTTGCAGATTGGCACTGCTCAGCGTTTGGCAGCACAAAAAATCTGCTTAAAATGCAAAAAAAAAAAAAAATTTTAGTTGTATTTGTTTTGTCTCACACAGGCTCGCTAAAACCAGCTTTTATTTGTTCGCATTTGTTCCCAGAGATGGTGGAATGCCTTGTTGAAAGCTTCGAGACATTCCGTTTGACACAAAATGCACAGATATCGATAGAATGCAGCAATTTAGCCATTAGCGGCATTGGGAGTTGTGCCTACGCAGGCTGCCAAGCCCCCCTGACGAGAAAACCCACGGCCCGGTGCGGTCAGGCAACACTGACCAGTCTCTCAGTACCTTGGGAAAGCTCGCTGTAAATCGCGCATTTCGAGACCGCTGCCCGAAAGGTCCTTAAGGCGGGTGCGGGATTTTCGGGGTTTCTAAAATCACGCAATTTGGACACGTTTCTAGGTTTTGCTTTTCCGTCGGAGCGTGTCTTGGCACCAGTGGTCCTGCTCCACAGTGGCCGAGGCGCGCAACGCACGTGCACCACTGTGGAGACAAGGTGCCTGTGGCTTCATGCTTTGGCCACAGGAGAGGAAAACCGCTGGCGCAAATATGCGCTCAGACAGGAAGCTTAAACCTAGGAATGCGTGCAACTTGAGTTTTTTTTTTAATGCCGTAAAATGGTCTGCACACCTTATAGCTTTCTGGAACAAGTTCATTTAGTAGTTTTCCTGGATGCTGAGAAGGTGTTTGTTGGAACCATACATTTGTTTTCACTAATTAAGAAGTTAATTTGTAAATTTTACTGAATTATTGAGATAATTAGTATATTTTTGCACTCTCCAATGTTCACAGTGGCTGGCAGTTTGTTCCCGGAGAAGTTTCTTATTTTCTCAGACACCCTATTTGTATAGGTTTTTTAGTCTTCGCTGAAATGCCCAACGCATTTCAGTCGATCGACCAGGTGAATGCGAAGTCGAAATTCATTTAAACGGTTCTGCAATGACCCATCATTGAAAGCTGACCTTCCCCTTTTGGCGCGTCTCCCTCTGCCCCGTCTTCATTTTTCCCGGTCGCCGAAGTGATGGTGTGGGATGACCTCAAGAAGAAGCACGTCATTGAGCTGGAGTTCACGGGCGAGGTCAAGGCAGTTAAGCTCCGGCGGGATCGGTGAGCTCTGCTTTTCCTCTTTTTCTTTTTAGCGACTCTATTGATCTCGATGCAGTTAGAGCAGTTTGTGCCCTATGGTATCGACCGACGAGACACAAAGGTAGAGGATCTCGGAAAATCTATGTCTTTATTTTCTGGAATACTTTTTTGAAGGGAGGTTTTCTTTTGTATGCCTAGATTAGGTTAATATAGTTAGACAGGGTGTCTCAAGTTAAAAATTCCGGTGTTTTTCATCGCAAAAAGAAACAACCTCGTCGAACCCAAACTTTCTGAAGAGACCTTCATCTTATTGAAAAATTATAAGGGATTTTTGGAAATTTTGAATGGGAAAAGGTGGGGCGAATACTATGTGGGGCTGAATGGAGTGGACCATTGAGAACGGACCCCATTTCCTGATGGAAAGTTCCAGACAAGAACTTATAACTTTTGAATAACATAACTGTTTATTCCGAAACTTTGGCATCTGGTCCCGACTGCTAGCACTACATTTGGGCGGAGGCTGAGCATTTGGTGACGCATATTTTATATTTGCGGTGAAAGAAACACCAATAATTTTTGGGAGGGACATGCTTTAGTAAGGGTTTCGTGTTTTTAAAGTTACACTGCAGAAGCCCCAGTCAGGCAGTGCCTTTTGTCTCTACCTCTCTGCTGGACATGGCCCATGAAAGCCCAAATAAACTTCAAACTTCAACCCTTTACTGTAAAGAACCATTGGAGGGTTTGTTTTTTGACTGGACTTTTTGCCTCAAATTTGGAGCTCTTCGAAGGTTTCGTTCAGCACCCGCAGAATTCTGAGTTTAGAGTATTGCAGAGCTAGGGAACAGGTGTTTTTTGCAAACTTACGCTTAAAGCAGACTTTTCAGATAGAAAAGAGCGAGAGTTGAGCCTTTCACAATATAAATCAATTGTTTCAAAATGTGCACACGGGTGATTAAATGTGCTTACCTGTCTGGAGACGATATCTCTTCAGCCAGATGTGCAGTTTGGAGTTTAAACTTGCACGTAACGAAACTTAGACGCCGAAGGCCACGGCGGTTGTAGAAAGTGATACGGTCGAACCTCGTTATTGTGAACATCAGATAACAAATTTTTCAGGCTTGCAAAAAAATTTTCAGTATCCCTTTCCGACTTTCTACAGTTTCAGTATAACAATATTTCAGTAAAACGAATTTCGAAATGCCAAATATTTCGGAACAACGAAAGAGATGGAAAGGTGGAACGAACTGTAGCGAAGACCCGATTCCCTTTCAATCCTGGTCTACGTCTGGCTCCCCCCTCGGGGTGTGAAGCACAGCTGGGGAGGCAAAGGGGCGAAAGGTAGGGCGAACAAAGCAAAGGGAAGAGGGAATTCACGACGTGGCGACCCAATGCATCACGTCGGCTGCATTGGGTGCCTGTGTTTGGATGCAAAAGCCAAAAAAACAAACGTGAGACTGGAGGAATCGATGCACATATCCCTATCGGAACTCAGTGGTACCGGTGTTAGAGATCGTAACAGTCGGAAAAATGTATGAGCCCAGAATGTATCAATGGGGTCAATAATAACAATAACTGTTTATTTGCCATTTGCGCGGTGGTAGAGGCTGGGGAAAAAATGCTGTACCTAGAGCTACAGTTGGAGAAAAAATGCGCTGCATGTGTTTAGAGGTGCACTTACTGGTAAAAAGTGATAACTTGCATTTTGATTCCTTTTCATGCGTGTTAGGGCATCACTTACACATGCTTTTAATTACCATACTTACGCGATTCTCGGCCGTCCTTCGTTTTTACAGTACCAGGCACAAGAAAACCAGCTAGCAGACGAACGTAACCGTGCCTGGAATGAAATCCTCTTGCACTTAGAACGTAATTCTCTCGTGCTTGAAAGGCAGTCCTAATGTGCTTAAAATATAACCCCCCCTCCTCCTCCCCCCCCGCCTCTCTCTCAGTCCCACCAATTTCATTAATACAGTATTTTTTTGTTTTTTTTACAGCTCCGTTGTTAAATTAATTATGAGGATAAATGTCTGCATTTTAGGAGTGTGAATTCAGTCTATAACATCAGCTCGAATTTATACCGAAGTATTCTCTTTACAGGATAGTGGTGGTGCTTGAGTCGATGATCAAGGTGTACACGTTCACCCAGAGCCCTCAACAGCTGCACGTCTTTGAGACGTGCCCCAACGAGAAAGGTGAGCAACTCTAGTCATTTGTCTATTGGCTCCGGTGACTCTATGGGTTCCTTCTGCTTACCTTTGGGTCTGTGGCACTTGCCTGCTATGCCACCAGCACAGCCTGTCCCCTCAAATAAAAATAATTCATAGGGTATCCTTTTTCACCGAAAAAATAAACGGTGCATCGCCGATTGCTCGTTCTCCGCCCAAATTTAGTACTAGTGGTCCGAACCAGACACTAGAGTACCATTGCTAACCGTTAAAAGGTAGAAGTGATATTCTGAAAATTTTAATGGCAGAATGGGATCCATTTTTGCATTTTTGCCTGTTTTCTGTAACTGGTGCTGTAGAGCTCCATGTATTCAAGAGCCTTCCTTTTAACGTCAGCCTTCCTTTTAACGTGCAACGTTCTTTGGCTAGGTGCTCAGCATTTCAAAAAGCCTGACAAGTATAGCCACGAAGCTCGACTCTGATTGGTTAATGGGGGAGGTCACGTGATGAGAGGGAGGAGGAGAACCACCTCTGCGCACTGAGGGAGAGGAGCTCGAGACTGTGGAAGGCATCACCAAGTTTATCATCCCTGCATACGTGAAACTTGGAACGTCCTAAAACGTTTGTTATGCTCGAACGTTTCACGTTTGCAATACAGTCGTCTAGAAATTTGCCATACATTTTTCCCTTTGAAACTTTCACATAATCACAACGTAAATTTTGAATAAGATAAGGGTTAATGCTGAAAGTTTGGCACCTGGTTTGGACCGGTAGCACTATACTTGGACAGGGAATGAGCGTTTGGCAATACATACCGTAAAGTTCTGAAAGAATGTCCACCCACAAATGAAGAGATAAGTGGTGAAAAACATGGGATGGGCTATCTTTGGGGATGCCACAGCAAAACTTTATAAAAAATTTATGATAAACACTCTGGCACTGGTTACAAACCGCGTGACATGGAAACTGATGCCGCAGATCGCGGACACCGCAAATTTACGTTCCATGATGTGATAAACACGCGGGAATTCGCTACAAATTCCTGATTGAAATGCGGTGCGGTATTTGCACCACGTTTCACGGTGCGAAAGATTTGCGGAAATCCACCAAGAATTCGCATCACACGGGAACGAAGACAGCGGATCAGGGACGCGGCAGATTCAAGTTTTACAGTGCAATAAGCATGCGGGAACCCGCTACAAACTTGCCTGTCACGGGAACTGATATCGCGTGTGCAGATCACGAACAAAAACGCAAGAATCCGCTACAAACTTTATATTGTGGGAATGGATACCGCGGATGGTAGACACAGCAGATTCGCATTTTCTGGTGCAACATGCACGTGGGAACAACTGGCATGTTGCGGGAGTCAATATCAGACGCACAGATTCTGGGCAAAAATGTGGGAACCAGCTATGAACTCGCTTGTCAGATGTGCCGGTACAGAAAATTGCGCGGTTGATGTGATTCCTGTCGGACTTTGCGTGATGTCCGACAGAAATCGGGGGGGTGGGCGATGTTTCGGAATTTTTATGTTACAGAAATTTAGCCAGAAAAACGGGATGGGCAATGTATGTGGTGGGCCTTCTCTTTGAACTTTACGGTAGTTCATTTTTTCAATAGAAGAAATCCCTGTACATTTTTTGGGGGTGGCAGCCCGTACATCTAGAATTGCACGCTTGCACGTCCGACGGTTTGCATCTCTGCCACCTGCTTTCTGTTTCGTGAGCTTGGAAACATAAGAGTTTCGCTTTTGGCACGCACCATTTCACCTTACAACGGATTGCAGCGGACGGTAAGAACCGTCAGAGCCAATCCAGATCCGCTCGAGCATCGTGTAACATGGCGCGTGGTCGCGTGACAAGTTCACAGCGTTGGAATGTCGGTGCAGCCGCGTGACCCCGAGTTCTGTCTTTGCGCGTGTCTCCAGGACTGTGCGTGCTGTGCCCGAACAGCAACAACAGCCTGCTGGCGTTCCCGGGCAGGCAGCACGGCCACGTTCAATTGGTCGACCTGGGGCAGACGGAGAAGCCCCCGCTGGACGTGGAAGCCCACGAAGCCCCCCTCAGCTGCATCGCCCTCAACCTGCTGGGCAGCCGACTGGCCACGGCCTCCGAGAAGGTGCAGTCGGGGAGCTGCACCGACTCTCTAGCTTTCCGTTATCTCCTGAGTCAGGCCGGTTGTTGGTTTATAAGCTGTTCTGGAAGAGGGGGGACACACGCTTCCTCTGCAGCCTGACTCTAGTCAAAACTCTAAATTGCACCGATTGCGGCTGCGGTTTGCACCGGCTCAAAGTTGCCGTTCAAAGTTGCACTTGTTATTGGTGCAACTTTGAGATAGGGAGGGGGGGGGGGGGGGGGGACAACGATTTATTTTGCTGCCCGACAGATCTCGAAGTTCTGAGTTACACCGACCGCAGCTGCAAGTTGCGTCAACTTCAGGTTGCAGTCTGGAGTTGCACCATTTGTCAGTGCACCCTTGAGCTGTCGAGGAGGGTGACAACGACTCCATCCGCTGGCCAGTATGGCCTAGAGTTAGTGGCACCCATTATCGGTGTAACTTTGGGATGCAGAAACGGGGGGGGGCGACAACTTTTTTTGCTGGCTAACAATGCTTCGTGTTGAGAGTTGCATTTACTGCAGCTGCAAGTTGCACCATTTGTTGGTGTAACCTACAGCTGTTGAAGGGGTTGACGAGAACTCCGCGTTCAGGCCGACACGGACCCAAAGTTCAAACTTGCACTGACAGCAACTGTGAGTCGCACTGGCTCGAGGTGTCACCGTTGCGCCCAATTACTTGTGCAACTTTGAGCTTTTTGAGTGGGAGAGGCAGCCACAAGAACAACTTCTGCCAGTGTGAAGTTCATAGTGCGTTTGTTGACCAAGGTCTCTATTATAGTCGGATTTTACGTGGGATGGAATGATATTGGTGACGACTCTGATTCCCGTTTGCTCAGCTCTACAATGCTTTCCGTCTGGACGCAGGGCACGCTCATCAGGGTATTTGACACGTCCACGGGCCAGCTTGTCAATGAACTTCGCCGTGGTGCCAACACAGCCAGCATTTACTGGTGAGTGCGGTGCCTTTTGAGGGATGCAGCTTGCGATGCAGCCCATTTAAAGGGCAACTCCGCTTAATTTCAAAATTTTTGAGATAGTGGCCGATTTTGCTTTTTGAAGCACTCAAAAGCAATCCCCAATCCTTTGTTTCGCGAAAAATAAAATATTTTTCATGTAATTTTACTCTAGCCATGATCACAAACCGAAACCGAAACGGTGGCAAAGCCGGACAACATTGTATATTCGGCATCACTAAGCATGTACACCCACAGGATATACAAGGGGAAGAAGGAGCTCCCCTCTTATCAGGATCCTCCTTTGTGCCTCCTGGATTAACACCAGGCGTCGCTATTCTCCTCCCAGAAGATTATAGAAGATTAACCTTTCACTCAAAATTCTTACAAAAGCAGCTTCCCTCTCCTCCTTTTACTTGGTGTTCAAAAGTATGCGATGTAACACAAGCCGCGCTCAACGAGGCGATCGGCTTATCAGTAGTATCAATAGTCGAGCGCCGGGCCGGCCGAGCGCGTCACTCACGTCTTTCACGGCGCTGGCGCCACCCGTGCTCTCCCCGGGAAAGAAAACAAAATTGAAAAAAAAAAAAAGAAGCTGTACATGCTTGATGACGTCGCGGACGTGCCGGGAGAAGGAATTTGGAAGAAGCGGAAATGCAGCCGGGCAGTGTTGTCTGGCCCGCACGTCTCATCCAAAACCAGCGGATTCGTGCTTGTCAAACTTTGACAGCGATTTTAATGAACTTCTAGGCGGAATTTCGTCGTAATATTCGCCATGGGGGTTTTGTAGATGATAACAAAGAGAACTGTATAGTTTTGCACTACTGGAAAAGAAGCGGAGTTGCCCTTTAAGGGGGCACACTGCCCAAAAAAAATGAAATTGTAAAAATGTTGATTTTGGAAAATGCAATATTTACATCTGCCAACATCTAGGGTATTCCCAGAAAGTGTGAAACTATCGAGAGACTTCATTTTTACGGCTTATATACCAAAATTTTATGGAACCGGTTACTATGAACTTAGATTTTGCATTTTCATGTTCTTTTATATAAAAAATTGTAATGAGCAAAACTTAGTAAATAAAAAAAAGATTTTTTTTTAATAAACTTGTTTTTATTTGCAAAAGTCATATTTTTTGAAATTTCTTTTCATAGTAACCGGCAACAGGTATATTCCAGTATGCGTTCCACCAGAAAAATATGTGGGTATCAACACGATTTCTCAATAGATTCATTGAGCTTTACTTCGTTCTGGGGGTGTAGTACTTCATAAAATTCGTTCAGAGGGCTGAAACATTGCATGCCCTCCTTCTATATCATTACAAAGACCACCCGCAAATATCACGCCGACTGAGTGAGCAGTTCAAGAGTGGACATTCCCATGTAGTGGCCCCCTTAAAGGGACACTGACACCCCCCAAAAATATTTTTTCATTTTTTGCCAGGTGATTCATTATAGTGTCAGAGGACTACCCAATTAATATTTTGCAACAGAATCATGTATATTTTTAATAAAGCCAATAAACGCAACTGCTCGAAACTGAAACCCGCGCACGGAGGTCGGAGAAGTGGAGAGAATAGAGTGAGTGGCAGAAGTCAAGTGGTTACACCCGACCGCACACCTTTAGGGAGCGAAGCTCCTTAGGGGCTAGCCATGTCCGTATGTCGTTCCGCCGTCGGGTCACGAGCACGTGAGCACGTGCTCCAGCGCTCCTGTAAGGCAAAAAGACAACAACAACAAAAAAAAAAAACGCATCTCCACGTGGTGAATGATGTTGATTGGGGCAAAGCTCTGGTGGTGCTTGTCCGCGTAGACGCTGAGCCGCAGCATGCCGAGCCTTTCGTTCGTTTTCATCCATGTCAGAAAGAGAATGTGTGGTATGGAACGTGGTTATATACGCATTTGAGCATTTGACCGCAGCGTGACATAGATGAAAACGAACGAAAGGCTCGGCATGCTGCGGCTCAGCATCTACGCAGACAAGCACCACCAGAGCTTCGCCCCAATCAACATCATTCACCACGTGGAGATGCAATTTTTTTCCCCCTCCAATAATTTTTTTTTTCTTTCTGCGCAGCAGATTACATGCGTGGCAGAAACTGTTTGCCATGCGATTCCTTTGCAGTTATGTTTGTTCCGCTCGCTGTTCTGTACTTCAAGATGAGTTGTTTTGTACATTGAGGAGTTGAGATGAGTAGTGAGTGCCCGTGGTGAATTTCTGTGATCGGCTCCGAAAAGAATACCCCCAAGATGTTGCGTGAAGAGCTAGCTCACATGGTCCTGCGTCCAAAAAAAAGTGTCATTGTGCGGCAGAGTTTTCGAAAGATCAACGGGATGGGGACCAATGGCTGGCTGCGACTCCTGTAGAAGATTTACGGGCACCTCGGAAAGCGGATGCCACCCGATTTATATATGCTCCTTGCATTTTGTGGAAAGTGATTACATTGAGTTTGCAGGTGTCAAAAAGGAAATCCCATACCATTTAGATCAGCGAGGTTTCGTCCACAACATTTTTTTTCTCTTCAGTGATAATTGTAAGAAAAAGAAATGTAAACATCAAAAATTGTTTGAAAAAGGAAAAAAAAAAAAGAAAACGGCATGTTTACACTGGGGATTGAACCCGGTCCCGCCGTGTGTGAGGCGGACGTCTTTCCTCTGAGCTACTGAGGGAACTCTTTCGTTTTTAGTAATGCAGCCGGTCAACTGTAAGTTGGAACGTTTGCTGCCGATGTTCCTCCAGCAAAAGCTCTCCCGGGTCGAAGGCGGGAAGCACCACGCATCGGCGACATTTGCACCTAAAAAGAAATCGTACGCATGCGTATTAATTCGAAGTACACACTTTGTGCTTGACGTTTGCACGAGCAATGTCTTCAGCCACGAGAAGGGAGCAACGGCTCGGCGACGTCTTCGTGCAAATTGGCTTGGTGGTCGGCCGTGTCGTACGGGATGAATACCATTTCTTTTGATCGGTCTCAAATTTCTCTTTCAAGGGCAGACAGAATTCGCTGGTACCGCAAATGACAGTTCTGAAGTAGAGGTCTCACGCCCGTCGTCTGCTGCCATCGCCGTCCCTGCGAGTCCCATGATACGCCAAACGACGAACGCACAGAATGCTTCCGGTTCTCTGTGGAACTTTTTTTTTTTTTCAATCAACGTATTTGCAGCTTTTTAGAAGCCACAAAAAATGGATTTCATGTTTTTTTCTATTTTTAATATTGAGTGTGTGCTTTCAGTGACCAACGACTTTGATTAAATTTGGTGGTTGTGTCTAAACCTTAGAAGACGGCCCGTGACCGTGGAGAAGAAAGTGAGCAAGACTCGAACTGCCCACTTCTTGATCGGCGGTTTTCCGGTGGAAAGAAACCGAATTTCGAGCCGCAAATCGTGTTTTGGGTAGTTGGGCTCTCATTTGTCATGCACAACTTAAAACCTCGGCGAGCTTAAATACCCTGTCAGTGTCACTTTAAGGGGCCGCGAAACACTTAGAAAGGAACCGTGAAAGTGGAAACATGAAACAGTTTTTATGGGACCACTATTTTTTCACTCTTGTCATCGAGCGTTTAGAATAAACTCTTCCCATTTTTAAACCATTGCACAGGAATTAGTTTTTGTTTACACACACTAGAATTTGCAAAAAGTGGACCGTGAGCCGTACAGCAAACGAAGCAGGAAAAACTGCCGTAGTCAGTAACTGCTTTCAAAGCATTACGCTTCGTGTGTAGGAACTGGCGTGGTACGACGAGGTGATCGGTCGAGGGAAAGGAGAGTCGCCCAGTCGTCCACTGCCGGCTTTTGTGTGACAGGTTGTTTGTTTTACGTTTTCACTGCCAATTCCTGGGCACTTTCCTCGTGTGCGTGTTGTTCCGTGCGAGGACTAAAATGTGGCGCCGAAATCGCTTCCTTTTTCCCTCAAGTGCGTATACAATGTGGTGCGCAAGTTCAGTCTCGCGCTTATGCATCGTCGATTCTTGTTAAAACACTTTTCTGTTTGTGCGTGTTTTCCTCTCGTGGGAGGGGGTGAGGGGCCTGCCGAGGCAGACTTTGTGTGTTGCAGTTGGCAACAGTGGTGCTAAAGTTGCGCCTTGCTCGGTGTGTCCTTCATTCGCAGCATCAACTTCAACATGGACTCCTCGTTGATGTGCGTCTCGAGCGATCACGGCACTGTGCACATCTTTGCCGTGGAAGACTCCAAGCGGAATAAGCAGTCAAGGTACAAACAAAAGCCACTTTGCATGAAACCTGGACGGCCCCTTTTAGTTCCTGGACGTTCGTGGGCACGAAGGAACATTGCTAGGAAACCAAAGAGCTTCTCTACAAACATTTTTTTTTAATAGAGCATCTACTAGTACTTCTCTGTGCAAATAATGCCCAATTGCAAACATCTAGTACCTCTCGTTATAAGCCTTGAACTTTGATTCATACCTAAATAGTTAGAAAGTAGAGCAACAAAAGTGTTTTTTTGCTTGCTTGCAAAATTTAGTAAACATTTACCAAGCTATCCCGAGTCGTTGCCCACCCCACGTTTCGGGTGAATATCGATTTCCAAAAAAACGCCAAGTGATCGCTGACCTCTAAAAATACCCAACGCAAACTCCGCTATCCGCAAACATTCATTCTAACCGAACAGACCTTACAGTTAGAGGACGTCCGTGAGAAAGTGACACGAAGGAGGGAAAGACACGTCTCTTTGTTTACGCATTTCCTCTCCGACTTCCGCGACGCTGTAGTCGTGCATGTGTGCAACAGGAAAACGATGGCGATAACAGAATGAAACTTTACTTGCTTACAAAAAACTCTGTTCGGACAAAAAAAGCAAAGTCAGAAAGATAACACAAGCAGTAACCCATTCAGGGATCACAAGGTCGGCGAACGCCCCCCATATCCTGGAATGTAACGACGGAGTGTAAGGTCAAACTTCATCTCCACCGAAGTGAAGTCACCGCGAACCCACTCCTTCTCCCGGAACGTCGCGACCGTGGTCGGTAAGGTCGTGCAATGTTTAAGACAAGGCCAAAGGGTAAATAAAGATTTCCTGGAACACGGCACACAGACATTAGTAGAGCGTACCATTTCGAGCTCTGCGCTCATGGTGCTGTCCACGCCACGCAGTAACGCCGCCTCAAACTGCGTTGATAGTATGGCATGCACAGAGGCGCGCATGTATGCACCAAGCAAGAAAGTTGCACAAGAGCTTGCTCCTTGGGATTGACAAGGGACCCGGCTTGGCCCGACGCCAAGGTATTTGCCAACGCAATCCCCGGCTTTTCCACTTCCCCAGCATCACTCTCCTTCGCTTCGTTTGCCTGCTCACTCGCTCGTTGCACCAAATAAATTTTTCTACTGTTGATTCTTTTTTTCACTAACGAAGAGAACATTGCAGTGTTAGAAACGTGCTTTCGTGGAACATAGATTCACGCTGCATGCCGATCAGCGGTGTTCATCGCGCATATGCAAATGACGAACTTTGCGATAGGAAAACATTCTTTCAATAGCATTTCTTGCATAAAACAATGAAACTAATTCTAGTTTTGAGTTTAATGTATCTCTTGTGCAGCCACGCTAGATACATACAGAAAAATGGGGTTTTTTTGTTGGCTTTTTCTAAACTTTTTGTGCTTACCCACCGAGACATGGCCCACCCCAGTTTTTTTTACAAATTTCACGTGGCCGGGTGGGCGATGACTTGGAATATTACGATAGTAATCTGGCAGTACTTTAGTCTTGTGCGAATAGTGGATTTTGAGATTGAAGCAAATTCGAAGCGAATAGTGGTTTTGGCCGAATATTTTCGATTTGAATATTGAATAGTTTTTCCATGCCTTTCACTACCCCTAAGGTAGCGATTTAAGCCAGTTGGTCCATTATCATCTAAAAAAGTGCCAAACAAACACAAGGACGAGGAAGTAGACAGTGTGCTCTTGTCTGTCTACTTCCTGGTCTTTGTTTTTTTTGGCGCTTTTATAGTTGCTTTCACAAGCACTGCATAATGCTTAGATGACAACCCAGCTAAACGTGTGAAGATTGTTCCACTTGTTCATTTATAAGCTAAGTTTAATCTATCTATATTTATGAACTGTGACCTCGGAAGGCCTGGTGTCTTGGGATGGCAAGTAAACGACGGATTTGACATAAAATGAATCCTATAAAGATGGCCAACTATACCCAAATAAGTGAATTTACAAATCTTGCTCTATAAAATATCCATTATTTAATCTCGAGTTAAAAAAGAATGAATCGCGCATGATGAATGCAGCTTGTAAGGGCCTCTCTGCCTAACATAGTGTGCAGTTTAATTTTGAAATTGTTACTACAATGTAGATATACCAATTCACAAAGTTTCCATTTATTTTCAAATACAGTCGGCACGGGTGCACCACCCCTCTTTGAATGTATGCTTTTCCTCCAAGCATGCGATTACGATATTCCTACTTTTCCAAGTGTTTATCGCGGCGGGCTACCCCGTTGAGTTCGCTTCTTACCGAGCACCGATGTAATGCAGAGAAGCAACACCCGCGGAGCTCGCTTCCGCGGGTATTGCTTCTCGGCAGCGCACCGGTGCTTGGTAAGAAGCGCACTTAACGGGGCTGACCCGCCGCAATCAACACTTAAAAAAACGCGAATAGTGCAGTTCTTCTCGAAGCGAATATCGAATAGTGCATTATTCGGAACTACTATTCGAAATTTCGAATATTTGCACAACCCTACAGTACTTGTCTGTGGCAAGGCTCACTATACATCCTTCTATGTCCCCCAGTGCTCTGCGTTCAAGTAACATTGTTAAATATTGTATGTGATTAGCTTCATATGGTGAATGTATGAAACTCTCAAATAAAAGCTTAGGAACTGACGGTAACCTTTAGTCGGCACTGATTGGGCACTTTTGACACTTATTTATTGCATATCAGTAGAAAGAAACTGTGTGGGACATGCTTTTTCCATGCATGTTAAATGGAAAACTAACGGAGTGTGTTATTTATACTGGAACCAAGGGCTCTTAGAAAGATAGAGGTGTCAAAAGGAGGCGTGCTCACTTCATTATTTGCTCTCTCTCTCCACTTTTAAGCTGGGCATCAGCATCGTTCCTGCCCAAGTACTTCAGCTCCAAGTGGAGCTTTGGCAAGTTCCAGGTTCCTGGTGGTGCGCACTGCATCTGTGCCTTCGGCTCCGAGCCAAATTCCGTCATCGGTACGCTTCTTTTTCTTAATCTTTTCTCCATTCATTTTCTAGGTGTGTGCAAATCGTAATTTTCATGTTCTACCTGGACACACAAGTTGAATAGTCGTAGCACCTGTATACTTTCAATCACACACAACCTTTTTGGATCACTGATCACATTACTTTTACTGAAACTTGTGCAGAATGTGACAGAGTTTGGCCGGAACAAGTGATTGCTGGTTCTTCCAGGTTCTCTCCCGCAGTCGGATAGGTATACAGTTAAACCTCGATGTAACAAAGTCGGTAAAATTCGCAATTTACTTCGTTACATTGAAATTTCGCTAAATCGAAATTTGGCTTTAGCATGCAAAAAAACAAATTTCGAAACATTTTACGGGTATGAAAACTCACCAAAAATGACATTTATTTAGGGGCAAAGTAGTCCGCGAGTTTTGCTTGCGCCTTGTCCGACAGTAGCAGCGGCGTCATACGGCGTTCGAGCGCCCAGAGCGCTTGCACGGCATCTTGCTGCCCATGCGACGCCGTGTACCTCCTCAGTACGTCCATTGCGTCGAGCACTTCCCGAGTGCTCGTGATCTCGGCACTTTCTTCAGGATGGCGTCCAAAACGTTTGCTTTCTCATCCAAAGAAAGAACTTTACGTTTCCTTATGGCAGCAAGCACGTGAGTGAACCGCCCAGTTAAAAAATAAAGCTGTTTAGTTTAGGCGGTGCCAATGTTTCCAACCTACACAGCACTCTTGCCCGCACAGTTTACTTGCCCCCTTGCGCCCACAGCACCCACAGGGCCCACAGTGTGCTTGCGCCTTTGCTTTACATCACGCTAGCAAGACGATAATCCAGCGATAATCGGTCTTCTCGGTCTTCTCCTAGATGGCACTGCCCGTGCGGTCGCGCCATCACGTCGCTCCCCCGCTGAAGTTGGCTCCCGCGCTACCCGCGGTACAGTGGACTATGATGATCAGTGAATGTCAGTGGTGATGCTGTTATGCCATGTTAACTTTTTGCTCGACATTTTCTGTCCAGCCCCGCGGAATCTGCTTTGCCGGGTGCCTCGCCGGCGCTACCGGCGCCGCACCCTCGGGCAGCCTAGGAACGTTGGAAGGCCTGTCCCCGTGAAGTAACCTATCAAGCGCTCGCGTTTGCGCATAATGTTTTTTTTAACCACAATTTTTTTGCGAAGTTGTTTTTTAGAGTCTATTTATTTATTGCCTTCTATGGCAATGGCGCTTCGTTATATTGAAATAGCAGCAAAATAGACTTGTTATATAGAGACTAAAAATACATGGGGTCTATGGGCAAAAAATTGTGAAAAATAAAATACTTCGTTAAATCGAGGATTTCGTTACATTGAAGTTCGTTACATCGAGGTTCGACTGTAATTTGTTGTACAGACAAATGCCTTTACTACAAAATCCCTACCGCGGAAAAACGCTTGTTTTTAGACGGTCTTCGTTAAGATTTTTTTAAGGGGGAAATATTCCACTAAGAACGCAGTATTCTATATCAAAATGAAGCTAAATAAAACCTTTATCAAACAGCGTAAGAGACAAACAAGGTTTTTGTTCTTAAATAATATATTTTATTAATCAAATCTGAAAAATTCTGTAAAATAAAGAAGGTACTTATAAAAGATGTACTTGCATTGTGGCAAAAAATATGAAAAGCAAGAAAGGAGAATATACAAAATGTCACAAATTTATCAGTGAATAACATATCCAAATGTCAAAAGTGTGTCTCTAAAACGTTTAGAGTTATTGCTAAAAACATTAACCCTGCTGAGAATCATGCCATTCTGTAAAGCAGTTTCTTGCGTTCGTAAAACAAAGATATATCCCACACCTCTTGCAGAAGACGTTCGTTCTCATTTCGACTTTTCTATCAGTATAGCATTTCTTGCAGTTGTGCCGCTTGTTGTGCCTCTCGGGCTCAAGTTGTGGCACTTCTGCAGCAGAATCGCTACGATTTACCTCGCCATCACTTAGTTCAAGCAGTTGCTGGGCTAACTCTATTCTAAAAGCAAGCTGGTCGAATCGAGCATTTCTTTTGAGCTCAGCAATGTCAGTGTGCTGCTTGCACTGCTAGTTGAAAAGAATATAACTGTTCACAACGGCGATGTCAACACAGTGGAAAAACAAGGTTTTCCACCACCTAACGGACTTGATCAGAATATTGTAGGACCCTATCAACTGGTCCGACTTGTCCACTCCCAGCATGCCAGCATTGTAGTCGCCTACAAGTTGTGGTCTCTGAATAGTGACTTGGGTCCATGTATTACCACTTTTGACTTTGCGTATGGCAAGGGTACGCTTGTTAGCAGTGTGAGCTGTGCTCATCAGGTGCACCACTTTCCGGTCTTTCCACTGCATGTAGAGCATGTTTTTTTCCCGTAGCCAACGGACATCCCCTCTTTTTGCTTTTTTTTCCCAGCTGGTGTCCTTGAGTGCTGACGGAAATCCGCGGCGATCTTTCCGCGTTGTCCCACAGGCTAGTGTTTTGCGCTCCAGGAGGTGGAGGAAAAGTGATGTGGACGTATAAAAATTGTCCATGTAAATTATGTACCCTTGGTCGAGGTAGGCTTGGCACAACTGCGTCACAACATCAAAAGCTAGTCCATTGGGACTCGGACTTTCACGCTTTCCTGTGTAAACACTGAACTGAACAGTGTAGCCAGTCGTGGAGTCCGCCAATACCCAAAGTTTATAACCCCACTTAGTAATTTTGTCTCGAAGGTACTGCCGAATTCCAGAGCGCCCTTTAGATTTTACCATTCTTTCATCAACAGAGAGATCCCGGTGCGGTTGAAAAAAACTAGCTGAGGTGTCGTTGATGTGCTTTAGGAGCCAGGACACTTTGTGTAGTTTCCCTCCCGATGCATGGGTTTCGCGGTCAGGATCGGAAACGTGAAGCATGGCTAGCAGAGCGAAAAATCGATTTCGTGACATTATTTTTGAGGGAACGAGGCCGGAAAACATGTTGCTCACACTCCAGTAAAGGTGCAGCCGAGGCAACTCTACAATTCCCATGTATATCAGAAGGCCGATGAACTTCGTCATTTCACTGTCAGTCACCTCCTTCCAAGAACCGTCTCTCTCGGCGTACGATGGTTTTTCAAAAATATGAGTCCATGCATACTTGTTCGTGTTGTCACACAGCGTGCGAATGACTTCTGATGTAAAAAACATCAGGAAAAAGTCAAGCGCTCGAATGAAACGGCGCGAGTCACTGCGGTGAAGCACCCCCGGCAAGTGAGCACCAAGTTGCCTTCTTGGGCGGAACTCCAGTTTTTTTTGCTGGACAGGCAGGGAATCTCCGCCGAGTGATGTTGAAACCCTATTGATGCGAAAATAAATGCTTAGGACCTTCACAAAAATTTTAACGCGAAGCACAAAACAAAGAAACTCGACGCTCGTAAAAACGAAACTTACCGCGGAGGAGGTGCTGACGTTCCGGGCCGGCTTGCCCCATCATCGCTGTCGGAACTAAAGTCTGACGAGGCAACGTCCTCCTCAGAGTCACTACTAGAGCTGTCATCCGCAAAATCAACTTCAGGACCAGTTGTTTTGCTGTATTTGCGTTGTTTCAGGCGAGGCACGTAACGTGACGTCGACGCCATGACAGATACCAATCTCCCAAGTGGGGAGCGTAAGGATGCTCCTCATAAATTGCCGCCTCACGGAAAACGCACAAACTATACAGAAAACAAAACTTTGGTTCTGGTTTTACTTCCTAGATGTCGCCACGTGCCCGTAAACTCCGCGGAGCCCGCGCAATTTGAATCGAAAATGGCATCGGACACCGGTGACCGATTGGGATAGGCGCGGTAAGGAAAGAGTTAATGAAGTGGGCTATTTTCAGTTAAGCCCGAAACCAGCTTTTTCTTATGTGGCAACACATTTTCATAATGCCTTTTAATAGTGCCATAACACAAAGTAATTGGTTTCGAATATCTGTCCAAACAGAAGATGTGGACAAAATCGTGGCAGCTATTTCTAGACTGGAGAGTAGTTTTCCCCACTTCCTTCATAAGTGCCCTCAAGGCGAGCAATGTTAGACCTTGTTAATGAGCAAACATGAGACGTAGCAAGAGAAAAAACTCTATTTCGAGTAAAGAATACAGCAGCGTCATTAGTACTCATGCCTGGTTTTTCCTTTGTGGATTCAACAGCCATCTGCGCGGACGGCAGCTACTACAAGTTCGTCTTCAACTCCAAAGGGGAGTGCACAAGAGACGTCTACGCCCAGTTCCTGGACGTGTCGGACGACGACCCACGCTCCTAGGACTCCTCACAACCGACGTAGGAACCTCGAGCGAAGATCTTGCATCGGACCGTCGCCTCCGCGGACTCGGTGATAAACAGCGTCAACCCTGAGGCTCCCCCAATGACCGGGACATTGTGGACAAACTGGACGCTCGCAGCGACGTGACAGTTTGCCCAGACTCCACGGGACAAGGCATCGAAGCACCGATGCAGCAACGTGTGGGTCAATTGGGACACCAGATTTGAGACGGGCGGAATTTGACGGATGGTGCGACGCGGCGTCTCGACTTGGGGCTACGTTCTGCCAATAAGCGACCCAAGGAATCGGAAAAAAGGTGCGAGGAGTCGGGAAGCGTTTTTGACGGATGGGGCTTATTGAGGCATGGTCGTCAGCTCCTCATCAAATGGGACTTGGGGGATGGCGTATTACATTGTCCAAAATAAAAGTAGTGTCGTGCAGACGAAGAAGCCCCAATAATGGCAAGAGGTGCGTCGACCTAGACTGACTCGATTCCAGGGAGAAGACGATGCGTCTTCCCCAAGTGATGCGTTGTGTTTTGTGGACGACAACGTGGGAGGTGCGAGGATCAACACGGATGTGAGACGCTCGCGACTTTGTGATGCGTTGCGTGAGCATACGACGTCGAAGACGAGACTAGGGTTAAAGTGTCCAGCATCGGATTCTCGAGATGTTCGGGACGGACTGATCAAGTGGCGTTTCTGCGTTCCGAGGTTGGGACCTTGTAGTATTTCAAAAATTGTCGGGTATGCAGGCTCAAAAAGCGGGAAGACGGTTTCAAGGAGCACTCGTTTTTGCCCAACGCCCGAATTTTCGAGTTGAGAGTCGCGTTTCATGAAACACTGACCCAGCGAGCGGCTGAAATCGAACTGGTTAGAGGAACGTTAAGTGCACAAAATCCATATCACCTCACGTTTGGTGCGAAATAAGTGGCGTTCCTTGCCGCAGGAAACGTTTAGGACATCTTCCGAAGCTAGGTCCGCACCTTGGCGACGTGCTAAATGTTACGGGTGTTGATATTGTTCTGTTTGTTGGACCGTTGGGTAGAGAGCTAACCTCCAGAGAGTTAGAAACAGTTTCTGGCCTTTTTGGTCAGAGCCAAATGGGAGAAAGAAATCAAGCACATGTTTGATAAACTTCTGATCCCTTGGGTTCCTTGTTCTTTTTTTTTTGGACGGGCTTTTTTTCCTCACGGAGGGTTCGAACATTGTGGAACACATGTCGCATTCTTGGGAGTACTCTAACTCTGTTGTTTTAGGCTTTTGATGACATGTTGCTCTGTTGTGTTTTTTTCTGTATCTATGCATAATATATATTTATAGCAAAGAGGCTTATCGTTTGTGGATCACTTTGTTTTTTTTAGGGGAAGGCAGAATTATCGCGCTGGAATCTTAGTGTTGTGTAGCTAGTACAGGCAACAAAACATTTGAATTGAAACCGAAACTCTTAGGTACTTTCCCTTTCTGCATTGGAACTTCTTTCTCTGATCTGCATCAAATCAGCAAATGGGAAGGCCACGTTTGGCTATAATTGATTATCCCATTCAAGAAGGTGGCTTTCTTACAAATTTAATGACCTCTCATATTCTAACTTTGTTTCAGTAGATATTTGTTGCACTTCAAAAGCAATACATACACTGCGCCAGTACCATCGTGCAGATGCGGCATTATTGGCCGTTTCGGTCAATCAACGCTTGCCAGGAGTACTCTCTCGTGATAACTGAACAGCGGGAGGCTCTCTGCAGTTTGCTTTTGACAAACTTCCATTTGTGAGGCGAATCTTTTAAAAAATTACCGCTCAACAGCAGCATATCATTGCACAACATATTTGTTTTCTCTCCACCTAACACTTTTTTTATCCATCATTCTGGGTAGTCTTAAATGTTGGGTTGCACACATGCGACTGCTTTCGGCCAAGTGACCTGCAGCGGTTTCCCCAGGAATTGAAATTGGGGGGGGGGGGGGGGGTCTAAATTTTTAGGGGGTGGGGGGGGAGGTATTGAGAATAGAGGAGTCATTGCGAATTAAGGAGGTACCTTCAGAAAAACAAGAGGGGGTGTTTAGGGAAATCACTGCTAGCTTGTGATCTCTTATGACGAAAGAACCCACTGGCACCATCTGTTGGGGAGCCATGGAACTTTCGCAGTTTCTGTATATTTCCTTTTTTTTTTCCACTTTATTCTTGCTTTATTGGCTCGAAAATCTTTTGAGAATGTTGTGAACGATAATTTCTTATAGATGGCACACGTATTGGATCTCAGAAATACTTCAAAACCTTCCCTGTGGTGAAATGCAGTTCCAGGTGTAATTGCAAGCTTGCCGTGTATATTCCCCCGCACTGACACCAGTCGTGGCGTCTTATTCTAACCTTTCTGAAAATAGTGCGCGTGCATAGCTTTAATAGGTGCTGAAAATGCGTGAGAGCGGAGATTCTGAAAACTCCTAATATGACGTCACGCTCCCGGAAGGAGGTGCTTCAGCGGTACTTTCGGCACGAGCTCGCTGGCTTCCTACTTTGGTTGCGCGTGCCTGCGCGTTCACACTTGTGTTAGCAAGGGCAGAAAAGCTTGCGTCGAAGGCGGAGTTTATATCGCAACTCCAACGCCCTAGGGAGCCTTCACGTGCGCTTTGCTAGGGTGATGCCACCCTTTGTAATACCACTCGCTGACAAACCAGCAGCCATTTTGGTTCTCGGCGATAATCCGTGGGGCTTATAACCCTCCCGGAAACAAGCACCTTATCCCAATCTTGTCTCACAAGCACAGTCAACTTTCCGGGGGAAAAGGGGCCCGGTCAGGATGGTGACGACCGATGATGGTGTTCGCCCGATGGTAGTCCCCCGGGAAGTCGAATAAGAAAAAAAAAACTAAAAGTTGTTCGATCCCGCTGGACACATTACGACGTCGGTAGGTTTACGGTGGCCAGTGTGGCCACGTTCGGTTTTTCTCACAAGTTTGGAGTAGGGAGCCTTCATGTGCGCTTTGCTAGGTTGCTGCCACCCTTTGTAATGCCACTCGCCGGCAAACCAGCCGCCCTTTTGGTTCTCGGCGATAATTTGTGGGGTTTATAACCCTCCCGGAAACGAGCACCTTATCTCACAAGTTTGGAGCAGCGTTGTGGAACCCACGGAGGGAGGATTAGCATTTCCCCCCTCGGATGAGAGGACCGATGGACACAAAGGCCACTTTCCGGCGCACGGAGAAACAATGAGAGGAACAAAATGGCGGTGGAAGAGGGTGTGGGAAAGGGAAACAGGCAGTTGGCATCACTCGATGCGAAGCGCACATGAAGGCACCCAGGGCAGAAGTTCCAAGATGACGGAAGAGAAGGGGATAGATTCTCCAGGATTTGTCGTGTGCCTGCTCGCTGGCGCTGGTCTGCGCGCTAAAAATTGTTTATTTGTCTACAAATGCGAAGCGGTTAGGGAGGGATCATATTACACTTGACGGAGATGTTCATGCACGTTAGGAAAACGAGCATGCTGATATTTAAAAGTTGCAGAAACCTCAACGTTAAAGAGCGAGCGCGTTTTAGGTAGCGGCCATGTCAATGTTTGTGGCAGAATATTTTTGAGGGTGATGAATATATCATGGTTAAGCTTTGCCTGGCCATTAGTATACTCTAAAAAGTGACCCGCGCACGGTGACAGCAGCGTTCTCAGTATTGATGTCTTCGTGTCACAGGCTCACAACTAGCTGCTCACCTGCTCGCCGTCTCGGTTTTAGTCTATAGCAACGCGTGATCAAACTGCTCTATGGTTATTGATAGAAAGTTTGTTACCGCGGGCTACCGTGTGGTGTAGCATTACAACCGGAAGCTCGCGCTGCGCCTTTGAAGCACAATTTTCAGCGCGCGCCAGGAGCGATGCCGTGCTCACGTTAGCCAACGGTAGCGTGCGGTAACGCTATGCTAAAACTGCCTATTAACATAATCGACGTGTTTAGGGGTTTTATTTATTGCTCTATCAAAAATAAATATATGCCGTACATTTTTTGTACCCTGTTATTTGCGGCGTTGCGGCCCCTCTCGCCAAAACTGCCCGTTCTAAGCTCTCGTCACGAACGGCTGGCTGACACAGACGCGCTTAAAATGCTACGAACATTTCTTTATTTTCTTTATAATGATCTGAAAGCAAGTACGGGTATTCTGTCTTTTTAAAATGCTTGGAATAAATTGTCATGTTCCTTGTAACGGCCTTAAAACGGAAACCCATTCCCGATGTGTATTGCTCGACATACCGTTGAGTTTCGAGTTTTTGCCATACTTGTGGCAAAGAATACACTTTTCGTAGACCGTGCGCTAGAGCTCTACAATATTAGCGGGAGCGTCTTCTGTCACGTTGAGCACAGATTGAGCTGGCGGCCATGCAGAAGACCAGAAATCCGCAGCGTATGCGATATACGAAAAGTTCCTAATGAAATGAGACATCCCGGTCCTTCGTGCAACGCTGTTGCAAGGCGAAGCACAAGAATTCCTATTTTAACGCGCTCACTATTTTCGTTCAAACGGCCTCACGCATCGAGGCCGACAGTCCCTGCCACCGTTTACGCGCCGCCGCCGCCGCTGCCGTCCCCGGTCCTCTGGTTCTCCGTTCGTCCGCGTGAGGGCGAGCGGCGGGCTCGAGTTGCGATATAGACGCTTTCAGCGCGCGCTAGATTGAGCCGCCATAGCCGACCTCCTCTTGTCTTACCAAGATGCCGAGCCACTGAAGCGGGCATTGACCAGCCTCCACAAAGGACTATGCTGGGAAGAATGACGCAGTAACACCTAGAATGGCAATAACCTGTACTCCAGTGGTAGTGATGAAGTGAAGAGAACGGAATAAGAGGGAACAAAAAGTGAACGTCGGCTATGGCGGCGCCCTTGCACAGCTGCCTGAAAGTGTCTATATCGCGGATCGGGGGCCCGTCGGTGGCACCACAGGCAGCCATTGCTTGACACCAGGCAATACACACAAGTCTGTGAGAGAAACACAAAAGTAGGCATTTTGAAGCTTGTACGCGGTGCTCGAATGCGACTAATCTTAGTATGAGCTGCGATCAGGGGCGGATGCAGGAATTTCCTGAGAGGGGGGGGGGGGGGGGGGGGGTCAGGTGTTGGTCAGCGTACCATATGTTTAGGAACCTCCTCCCCCTCTCCCCTGTTTTACGCCCTAAATTTTACACATGTAAAAATCAAGAGGGGGTCAGGACATCCCGACCCCCCTCTAAATCCGTCCCTGGCTGCGATCATTGTATCTGGTGTTTGGAGATCGAATCGGAAAATTTCAAGCATTCGAACGTCGATTGAAAAAATAAAATGTGCCGGAGCACGAACTTTCCACGAGCCAGCAGCCACCGGTGTGCGTGAGCTCACGCAATGCAATTAACGTCATGGTCCCCCGCTCACGCTTATGACAGCGAAATCTGTGGGCTCCGGGTAAAAGGATAATAACGACAGTCTTTTCATCTCCACAGTGAAGTCTGATGTAAAAGGTAGGCGATTAATTGGTCTTACAAGCACGTGCGCGATCGAAAGCGTCGCTGTGGTCGGCCTTCCACGATTCGCCATGTGCTGACTATGACCTCAGCAAAGGATTTCTCATCGACTGAAATAAGAATAATGTAAGAATTTCAAACTTTGGCGGTGTTGGCAGCGTTGGTTTCGGAGAGCAAATATTGCAAGTTTTCACCATGCTAATTACAAACACCACCGAACTGGTTGTTCGCAAGGTAATGACTTAACCAGAGGGAACCATCGGAGGGCGTAACCAAAACAGTTCACCGCTAATAGACAGTTTTAGTTACGTTGCAGTATAAACGTACCTTTAGTATAGCGTTGCTGGCTCTTGCGTACGCAATACGCAATAGTATAGCGTACGCTAAAAATGACCTGCTCGGACCGAATTTAGTTGTGCGTTACGTTTTCGAGTGAACACCGCGCATGATCTTGGTTAGATTTGCTAGAGCTGCAGAATTCCGCGTGCTTACAGCGCAACCATGCTCCTGGAAAGAAATATTGAAAATGAAAACGTGTCCAATCATTTTATTTCAAATTAAACCCAGCCGCAGCTGCCTCGTCAAGCGTGCTTTTCTGCGGGGTACAGAGGCTACGAGTAAAGGCCCGTTCACACTCTTGCGACCGAGTACGACTGAAGGCCCGTTCATACTCTTGCGACTGCTTGCGACCTCTTAAACCTGGGTTCCTTAAAACTTCTTAAACCAGAGAACACACTGGCGCCATCTATTGGGAAGCAGTGTAAACTCGGCGGTCCGGCATATTTTTTTTTATTTCTCGCGCAATATCCTTTCTTTTTTGGCTCGAAAAGCTTTTGTCAATGTTATAAACGAG